ATGAGTGCCAATGAGACAACTCGATATCTCCATCCAAGTCACAATTTGTAAAGGTAAACCATTATAGGTCAAGGTACGGCCTTCAACACGGAGCCTTAGCTCACACCGAAACAGCAAGCTATAATAAATAAAAGGGCCCCAAAAATGACTAGTGTAAAACCATTCAAACAGGGAAACCAATGGTCTATTATCAAAATAAAAAACAAGAAACAAGAAACACTTATGAACCACATCAACAAACGTCAACTACTGAACATCAGATTCCAAAATGTATTATTTTGAATTTGAACTTTTGTTCATTTTCTTTTTTTTTAAATTAAGTTTATTTTATGATTTAGTAGTTTTAAATTTTATTTTATCTTATTATTATAATAAAAGAGGAATTGTTTTACTTTGGATTATATATTTAATTTTATTTGTTGTACAATTAATTAGGATATTTATTTTAATCATTGGGTATTGTTCAAAAATGTATTTGTTATTAATTTATTATCATTCAATTAAATTGTTATTGTTGATTAAATTATGAAAACAATACTTGTGTTTTACCTATGCCTAGCAGAATATTTAGTCTAGCAATAAACTGACCCCCTAGCAGGCCCCAGGCTATCCCTTACAAGTTAGCTTCCTCTTATCTAACAGTGCTCTGGACCTTGGAGACGTATCCTCATGCATGCATTTATTAAATTTGTCATCTATTTAGAAGTAGCTATAATCTTTTCAGAACCTCAAATTACACACATGGAGCTATGATACAGTAAATTCAAGTTAGGATTGATTGATTGGTATTTAACACCACTTTCAACAAAATTGGCTATTAAGTCGCAGTCTGTTTTTGAATTGTGAAGGAAGCCAGAGTGCCTGGAGAGACTTTCAGACATGCTGCAGGAAAGCTGACGATTATCCTAATCTATTACAATTGGAGTAAAAGGAATCTGACACATGCAGGATTCAGGATTCAAACTCACAACCTCAGTGTTGACAGGTTAGTGATACAGAAGATGGACTACTGAGACCACTCGGCCACTGAGGCCCCCAAGTTAGGATTTAAAGAAAGGACTTGCTGAACATGGCCACTTTCATGAAATAAATTCAAGGGAAATTGACCCTACCTCTTTGATTTTAAAGTCAAATCAACCATTCATACGAGTATGCATGCAAATTATGCACAATAAAGTCTAATTCAAAAATATTTTCTAATACATTCAAGTGTTTGAGGTTAGTCAAATAAGCACTTTATTCAAAATATTACAAATATGTAACACATAAACAAAAGACAACCACTGAATTACAGGCTCCTGACTTGGGACAGGCACATACATAAAGAATGTGGCGGGGTTAAACATGTTGGCGGGATCCCAACCCTCCCCCTAACCTGGGACAGTGGTGTAACAGTACAACATAAGAACGAACTATAAAAATCAGTTGAAAAAGGCTAATTAACTCATCAGATGGATAAAAATACAAATACTACAAATACTACAAATACAAGTGGACGTGGCCGGGTACTTGTACATCCAAACAACAAAAAGACACTAAGTACAGATATGAGAGTACTCGAAGTTACTGACAGCTAGTTCAAACCCACTAACAACTAATAAAAAAAATCATGCATCTAAGACTAAATTATCAATCCATACACATCCAACATCCAATGGATTTAGTGTAAAGACGTCATAAACAGTCAGAGAAAAACACGACCTTGTGCAATGCCAAGATACAGGTATCGACAGATTGTAGATCCATGAATGTGTATATGTATATAACAATAATATTTAGTTTGCTTTTAATTTACTGATAACAAAATCAATATTAGTACCAATAAAAACAATATTTATTGATCTAATTACAGTGTTGATTTGGTAACCTTTTAGAATAAGTTAATTTAAAGGATCGATAAGTTTACCAAGATCGTTTCTAAATTTCCGGGCACAGTAAACAATATTGCCGTAAAAATGAGTGTGCAATCCCGTTTGAAATACTTCAAAACCAAATCTTTATATCCGTGGAAGAATTTTGTAAAGGTTTTAAGTTGTGGTAACGAAATCCCTGGCTTAATAATTTACCAGTAATACATAGATTAAGTTGACTACCAATTGACTTTTACACAAGGCCACCAATGGGTCTTCAATGCAGTGAGAAAATCCTGCATCCAGAGGTGGGCTTCAGCTGCCCCCTATACAACAATGCAACTTTATAGAAAATATCACAAGTAGTTCCTATCAAACTGACTTAAGCAGAAAACTTAATAATTAATTCAAAATCACTGGACCATAACATACATGACCTAGGGGGCAGCCAGGGGCTCGAAATAATTGTCAAACTGATATGTACCGACGGTAATTAATGCAACTTCATACAAAATATCATTAATCTATCACATTTAGTTCCTATCCAACTAACTTAAGCAGAAAACTTAACAATGAAAATAGCTAATTAATTCCAAGTCACTGGACCATGACCTAAGGGGTAGAGCCTCAAAAAGTTCTCAAACTGATATGCACTGATAATAATGCAACTTTCTATGTCTCATGAGTCTTAGAAATACACAATTAAAACACAGTATCAATCACAACATATACTGTGTAAATTTTGTTGCACGAATATTCCTGACTTGCACATCCCAATGCTAATCCAGATATTTGCCATTAGTTTACATACAATTTCAAGGTATCCAAGATTGTACCAACTAAAAAATATTATGGAGAACTATAAGGACAAGCAATCTTTTCATTAGAATTGATAGCAACAGTATAATTGATATAGGAATTCTGTGCACATCTTTAACAGAGTGAATATCTGCTTATGTAGGCGTCTGACTTCTAACAAATGAAAACAAATTTAATATATCTAGCTATGACAATGCTTACTATTTTTAGATATGAATTTAAATGTTAAAAATAAATGTACCTCTTTTTAAAAAACTAGCGGTTGGTAGTTTAATTTTATTACAATTACATATTTAGATGGGTCATTTTCAAAAAATGTCGAATTTTCAGTACACCCATGCTATATTTTTTATTTCTAATGGAAAATGCAGTTGTGTTTAAATGAAAGTTTGTAGGATTTATGAGTCAGACCATTAATAATAAACACGATTTAGATCTATTTTGATAAGATTAAAATATATTTAAGTCCAATTTTTGCATAATTTATGTCCGTACAGTGTCAGAGTAACACATTTCAAATGATTTTTTCCTATTTTCTGATCGCCTTGATATCTGCAAAAGAGACTTTTTTAGAAGGTTAATAATAACTCTAACGAAAAATCGCAGCTTCTTTATTATCATATGTAACATTTTTTTCTAAAAACTAAATTCAATCAGCTTACATGAAGTTCATGTCCCTCCTGTTACCGCTACTTAAATCAGTTGTTAAATTGTTCTCCCTATGAATATTGAACTAGTCAGTGTTGATTTCAAAAGCGCAAAGTAACATAAATATTTAACACAGCACGTTTCTTGTATAACAGTTTAGAGAAAAGAAATTTCAAACATTTAGTGAAAAAAAATAGTGGGTACTTTTTTGTCATGTCTATGCTGTTACCAACATATTGATTAATTACACCAATATTATACTTGTAAAAAGTGCAATAAGTGTTGGAAACCAAAATCACAACAGAAAAACATTATCACTTCATCAAAGGGAGGGGTTATTTCACAACAGCATTCAAAAATGAAAAAAATTGTCTATCCTGTTACTATGGTTGCTATGGTTACAGTAACAGGATAGACAATAGTAGACTGAAACCTCTTTAAAAAGTTTATAATAACATATAGTTGCACACATAATGAAATGTTTCGTTGTTTGAACTCATCTAAAGGTTATAACATCTTAACAATTTAGCATTTGCAATTTATAGAACAAAATGATATAATCTTTGCAATTTAGCATTTGCAGGTGCAATACTGCTATCAGTAACAGGATAGACAAAAAAGTAACAGGATAGAACTTAATATAGTGATATACCATAAACGTACGTTCCTGTTACCAATAAAATAAAGACAAAAGTAACCCAACATGCGAGGGATTTACTTAATTTTGGGTTTATTTGAAAGAGAGTAAAAATGCCAAACATAATGAATTGCTATCTTAGACTTGCATTACTGGTGATTATTATTATAACCTTTGAAAACCAATTTTTAGAGGCATTTTTCAGTACAACATGGAAAATTGGCAAATAATCTATTATTTTACAGAATGAATATGTATATAAAAGTTTTTATTATTGAAAACCATCTTATTGGCTACGAAAAACAAGCTTAAAATTTTATCGAAACCTTTTCTAAATAACCCGAAATTTCTTTTGAACATGGTTACAGGAGAGACAAAATATTGCACCACCTATCAAAAAATGTTTCAATATATTCTTGTATGAAATTATCAAGATTGCATCTTTTTATATGTTGTTCTATAAGTACTGTTTGTTTTGATTTTCTTATGACGAGGGTTGTTTGAATAAGTAACTTTAAATCAATTTTGCGGCAATTTCAAAATTCAACATTTTTTTAAAATGACCCAGATATCTATTTTGGGGTTAATTGGTCAATTTTGTAACTGTTTATTTTAATTGCAACCATAATTAAACATACTTTGTATTGAAATACATTTGTACTACTATTCTATTCATATGATAATTTTTTGGAACTATCTTACATTTTCTGGAACTATCTGAGTATAAATACATTTACTGGAACTTAATTTTTGTGCATAAATACATAGTCAAGTCTAACTAAGCTCAGTCACGCATCAGACTTCAACAAGACTTAAAGGTATGGATTGTTAATGTTTAAATGTAATATTGAATGACACCAGATACAACAGAGTCATTCAGCATATCAAGGAAAATGATTGTGAAAGAATAACTAACGGTGGTCAAAAATTGCGATCAGATCTGAAAAATCTGGTTTTGAATTGTGAATGCACTTTGGTGTAATTCTACTTCAAAATCTCCTTTTGGAACTATCTTACATTTTCTTGAACTATCTTACATTTTCTTGAACTATCTTACATTTTCTGGAACAATCTTTGAGTATGAATACATTTACTGGATTAGGAACTATTTTTTGTTTATAAATACTGTGATAGTCAAGTCTAGCTAAGCTCAGTCACACAGAGAACCTGAGGAACCTGACCGTGTGTGATCTGGTAATTTTGTAACAAAGACAAAGCTAATCATACACATTTTAACTTTTAGATCAGGAAAAAGATAAAGAACAAATTTATTCATCAGACTTCAACAAGACTTAAAGGTATGGATTGTTAATGTTTAAATTTAATATTGAATGAAACCAGATATGATGGCGTCATTCGGCATATTGAGGAAAATGATTGTGAAAAAATAACTAACGGTGGTCAAACATTGCGGTCAGATCTGAAAAATCTGATTTTCAATTCTAAATGCATGGCTTTGGTGTAATTCTACTTCAAAATCTGTGAAAAATCTCCTGTATTTTCAAAAGGTGGAACAAATTAGAAAAAGAACTTTGTCAATATGATTCAACTTCCTTAATAGTACTGCGCAGAATTCTAACATTGTTGGGCTAATTTTGAGACAAATCATATACATATACATAGACGCATATCAAGATCAGTTTTTGTCTAAGAGGCAATGTGAAACTGGGCATCCAAGATAATAAGACCCCCACAGGCATGTCAATTTGTCAAAAAGTAAATGTGTATGTTTTCTGAAATGCTAAATGCATCCCACAAATGAGTGAAGCAAGAGGGGGTCTTGTGGTCTTCCCCTGAAAATATCTTAATGTGTACATTTTTGTTTTCATAAAGGTTGCAAATTTATGAAGCTATATCATTTAATTTATATACATGTATATTGAAGCTGTTCTTTCTATGAACAATTCAAACTTTTCTGATTGGGTCCAACTAAAAATTACAGACACCACATATACCCGTTGCATTACGTTTCCGCAGATTACCATAACATTTGCGCGCAAAAATCATTAAGATTGCGTGCAGCTTTTGATAACATTTGCGCACATTTATTTGACAGGTAAACTCAGGTAAATACAGGTAATAATACTTATCTATTTATAAATTTTTTCAATTATTTACAAGTGCATTAGTACCCCTTGTTTCCATATGTTTGTGCCTTAGTGCATTGTCCCAACTTTACAAACTAACTTAAATCATTTACTAATTTAAAAGCATCACTATTCGGTGAAACACTATTCACTCTGAAATATTCACAATGAAGTTGCAAGAATATTTTTATAACGGGATTTATCATGATCACTTTATATTTTGTTTTAGAGTTCAATATGAATAATATATAATTTGAATTAACAAAAATTTTCAAATAAATAATTTATAGTCATATTTATATTTTTATATGATTTTTATTCATATTGCCTCTATTTTTACCCGAGTTTACCTGTAAAATAAATGCGTGCAAATGTAATCAAAAGCCGCATGAATACATAAAAAAAAAAATTGTTTTATCTCCAAATGCACGCAAACTTATATAAATGCTGTCACATATACAGATTATTGAGTTGATTGTCTATTTTGGTTATGTTGACTTATTCATTTGAATCTTCTATAGCTTTATCAGGTTTTCTATAATTGTTATGCACTCCTATATATTGTAGATGACTACTTCACAAAAGCATCAGATGTTTGTTTCCTCTCCAATGGACATCCAGAATGTTATTAATGTCCCAGGCATTGGTGCTGTTTCTGCTAAAAGTTTAGGACTAAATGGTATTTCACAGGTAAGTAAGTTTCTTCATTTATTTCTAAAATAAAAGTGACAACTTATTGTAAATTTTTTGTTGATTTGCAATATTGTTCATCTTTAATATCTCCACTCAAATTAAAACCATTTTGCAAAAGTTTTTTAATTCATAAAAAGGACAACTGGTACCACTAAAGGTGTCAGACCACCAATTAAAAATCGCTATCTTTCAACCAAATTTTGCACTTTTCAGTTTTCTAAATATTTTACCTTAAGTTTACTTCATAGAAACCAGGTATATCGTGAATCGTATTTGTATCACCTTTCTACATGCCAATTTTCAACCCATGTTTAAAGTCTTGTAACAAAGAACTGCCTTTCTGAAGCCAAGATTTACTTAAAATAACCCCTGGTTTTCTGGAAATCTTAAATTAGTATACTATAGAGCGCATTAATCCTCAATTGTTAATGTTAACTCATAAACAGGTAAATTTTAGCTCAAAATGGTCTAAATATATTTCTCTTTCACCAAAAGTTTCATTTCTGCAAATTTGTTAGTTTATTTTTTAGTAAGCGATGACATCAAAAGCACTATTTTTGTCAGAATAGGGCTTAGTCTACTTTTACAAACGTTCTAATTTGGAGGGAGTGAATTGGTTGTCTGACACTTAAAGGACAGAATAAAAGACAAAATCAACTACTTATAAAAAATAAAAGACATGCAAAGACAAAAAACAACTAAAAGCAAGCACTCAAGTTAAGGTTATGATTACATGTGAAAAATTAGCATACATCTTGATGACAACTAAGTCCCATATCTCTGGTTGACAAAACACAAAATCAAATGGGAGCTTCCTTTTAATCAATCCAAACAATAATGCAAAGTTTTGAGGAAGTCATTGCAGGCATACTTGTGAAAATGTGCACTTGTGAAAAATTGCCTAACTTTTTATACGACCACAAAATAATTTTGTGGTCGTATATTGGTATCAGGTCGTCATCGTCCAAAGACAGTTGGTTTCCGGACAACAACTTTAGTATAAGTAATTAGAAATCTATGAAATTTAAACACAAGGTTTATAACCACAAAAGAAAGGTTGGGATTGATTTGGGGGTTATGGTCCTAACAGTTTAGGAATTAAGGGCCAAAAAGAGGCCCAAAAAGGCATTTTTCTAGTTTCCAGACAATAACTTGTGTGTGTATGGATCTCTCTGAAATTATACCACAAGTTTACATACCACAAAGGGATGGTTAGGATTGGCTTTGAGGGGTTATGGCTCAAACCGTTTAGGAATTAGGGGCAAAAAAGGTGGAAAAACAAGGGCTTCCTGGTAAATGGACAATTAATAAAAGCAGTGTAAGGGAGGTAATCCAAAAACAAAATTGTACAATGTTGGATTACCTCCATTACACTGCTTTTAAATTATCTATTTAAGACTTTTATGATGTATTTAAATGGGTAATTATGGTTGCAAACTCCATTGCTAATTTGAATTGAGATTAATTATGACCATATCTTGAGGGAAAGAAAAAAATTTGGAAAAGGAGGGGGGGGGGGGTGGCAATTTTTTCTCATTTCAGATTTCAGAAATAAAACAAAATTTCTTCACATATTTTTTTTTTTTTGCAAAAAAGGTGGGGGGGGGGGGGGGGGGGTTCAATACACAACAGCATAGTGTATTGCAGAAAAGCAAAAAATTGAACATAAATTCAAATCATATAACCAATTCTAAGTTCTTTGACTACAGTAATTCTGTGTCAGAAACCTATTATGTGTCAAATATTTAATTACAGTCCAAATTCAGACCTGTATCAAGCGCGAATATAAAAAGCTGTGTCCATTTTTGCCCCAACTGTTTAGGGTTGGACCTCTGCGGTCGTATCCAGCTGCGCCCCGCGAAGCAATTTATTCAAATGGGTAAAGCTTATTTCTCTAAAATGACAATCACATGGCCAATAATGTTTAATATTCAAAGGGAGCTTTCTTTTGTCAATTCATATGTTGTGTTAAAATAACATGAGAATTCATTAAAGCAAATTTGAGTTATCAGGGGCTAAACTTAACGGTCACCCAGTCGCCCAAGGCGACCAGATTTTTTTGGCTGGGCGAATGTTATTATTTTATCATCTGAATCACCCAGCTTGCAACTGTAAAATATTTTGCAGTGAATCATATTTCTACCATTTCCCCAGGGATCATAAACAAAAACTGTTCCCAAACAGTAACCTAATTGTCTAATCAAAACGGGAAAATTAAAGATGACTTTAGGACAGGATATATAGTTTATTGATGCAAGTACAAAGGTTACAGAGAAGTTAAAAACATGCATACAAAATATTAGATGAGATAACATAAAATAAAAAATAAAAAAATAAATAAAAATAGATAAAAAAAATAAATATGAAAATATATACACACAAATAAAGTAAAAAACATGTTTAAAGAAATAGGAAAACAGTAAATTCATGATTTGATATACACCCCTTCTCTAAACATGTGTTGAACTGTTCTATTCTCTCTTTTAAAGCTTCTACAATTATTTCATTATTGTTTAGTGTTTTCGTGTAAACTGCTGAATCCACATTGCTTCAGAGACGCATTCAGTTATTCAGGGAGTCATTATAACCCCGTATTTGACGATAACTTGTCGATACATTGATATTTATAAATCTAAGTAAAAAAAACAAAATGCTAAATCCCTTCAAAAAATACCAAAATATCTAGTTTGCTATCCAATCTTTGATAAAAAGTAATTGAATAATATTTTTGACCGACACTATAAGAGAATGGCTTGGATTTGAAATAGCATTTTATAATTCATAGAAACCCCCATATTGTCAACTTTTATCAAAGGGAGACAAATTTGGTGGGAAATGAAAAGTACATTTAAGTTTTTTTTATTGGTATAAAAATTGGTTGAGCCCTCAAATTTCATCTGGGCTCCTGAACAAATATGTTAGGGGCTAAGCTGGCCCCTAGAGAAAACAAGTAAGTTTAGTTCCTGGTTATTGTATAAAGCATTGAAAGACAGAAGGACAGTCATTGGTATATACCAAATTACGTCCAGCTTATTTTTAGCTAAAAAACAATTGTAGTATGTAGAAAAACACTGTTTATTTCATTTTCAGGCCAGTCAACTGTATGTAATGTATGTTCAGGATCAAAGAAACCAACAACAATTTGTTAACGATCTTCAACAATTGACTGGAGTAAAACCATACTTTCTGAACCAGGCATACAGTGCTTTGAATGAATGGGACATACAGTATGACAGATAAACATTTTTAAATTAGTAAGTTCTTTGTTTAAACTTTCTGCATATTTCAATTATTCAAGCCTGGGTTCTGAGGTACCGGTAATTAAGATAAACTACAACACACATGTTAAAAAGATACTGATTTGATAATATTTAGCAGCAATCTAGATTTAAATAGAAAAGGGTGAAACATAGAACTTTAAATGTCACAAATAATACTGATAAAGAATACTCCTATAAATAAAACAAATATTTACATGCAAAGGGAATTAACTGTTATATTTCTAAATTGGTTAAAGGCATTTTTATTTTTTTATGTATATTCAATAATCTCATAAAAGTTTCATTGTTAATTAGCAATTGAGTTTATATACCCACAATCCTTTTTCAGGGGAGAATTTTGGGTTTTTTTAAAGGGGGGGGGGGCATACAATCACCCTTTTGTACCCCCTCCCCCCACACCCCAATAAAAAAAGCCAACATATATCCGTAATTGTACAGATCATACTAAGTCTTTCAGTGTTCCCATTACACATATTTCTGACCTCAAGGACTCTCCATCAATAATAACCTATTATGCAACCTAATGCAAAACAGGTTAAGATCAGGAGTAGGATTATTATCTCCCCTTATTTTCCCATAGCTGAGTTAAGTTGACATGTCTATATATAATTGTTACCATTAAGAAGATTATTTTTACAAAACTGACAGAACAAAATATTTAAAATTAAGTCTAATGGCTGATGATTATTATATTTCAGATACCAACTATTGATATATCAACTTAAGGAGATGCATGCCGAACTGGTTACCTTTATTCCTTGATTCAACAATGAAGCTTACTTTGACAATTTCTTGAACCTTTTGGACATACAGAATCTAAAGCTAATTAGTTGATTTCATGAAACCAAAAGAACCATAAACAATTTGATTCAATTTTAGTCAAACCAGACTTAATTTACCAGAACTTTGAATTTCAATGAACAATCTAGGCTGATGTGTAGCCACTCATGAGGTTTGCCAAGCTTTTTAAATAATTAAAATTGAACTGTTTAGAGTGGGGAAATATCGCAATACACGAGTTATAATGGTGGAATCTGTTTCTCTGATGATTTAAGACGATATCTAATCAAAGTTTATCCTACCTTTTCAAAGATGTGCAGAATGGTGTTCTTTATATGTGATGTCATCAGACATGGTCGCCTTTTTTCACGACGTCACAATAGGAAATTCAGAAGAAACCAAGAAAATTTGATGTCATAATTGAGTTTCCACCAATCACTTGCAGAGCACAAAGTTTTCTCCAGAGATTTATCGAGAAATGTGAAAAAGCATGAAAATAAGAGAAAAGTCATTTACTGAGTCTCTTTATTTCACTTGTTACAAATCATTAGAAACTCTTAGAAAAAGTCAATTATTGTCAACTTAAGCCTTGGCTTAAATTTTATCAGTTTTAAGTTTAAAGTCAGTTTATAATATGTTGGTTCCATTTCTAAATATCTAGTATTCTACAATGTATTAGCTGAGGAACCACAGCTCTTCAAGATATCATGAGGACCTAAGAGCTAGTCGGTTCGATTCGGGAGCAAGTAAGGTATATGTTGGATGCATTATATGAATTAAGTTGGTATATCAAAGTTTAATAAACATTAATTTTTCATACCTTTCTTTATTTGTGATTTAGATGCCCTGCAAGAGAAATACCCCCTAATACTTGTATTCTTAATATAGGAGAAACACCTCGTTCAGATATAATTACAGAGGACACCAAACTAACACACAAAAGAACTTGATAAAACAATCTTAGTTTAAAAGTAACACTAGGAAACATCTTAAAGGGCAGTAGGTTCTAGATGAATGATACATATTCTTAATAACACTTTATCAATACCTTGAACTGAACCAATAACCCCAATTCTAACTGCTTTATTTCAGTGCACATATGAAATAAAACAAGAGTGCTTTACTGACCATTGATTTTATATTGAAAGTCTTAAAGATGAAGGTTTATCTAAAAACATCACAGAAACTAAGGTCAGATAAATGCTGTCAGACTGACCTTATACACCTTACAATTTTTTATACACAAAATATAATAACCTATTGCTTATAATTGAAAAACAGACCAAAACAAAAAAACTAAACATTGACCAATAAACCATGAAAATGAGGCCAAGGTCAGATGTCCCGATGATATATATACCTGCTGGACAGACATATACACCTTAAAACCATTCCATACACAACATAGAGTAAACCTATTGCTTAAAGTACTTGAAAAATATACCAAATCACAAAAACTCAACATTGACCAATGAACCATGAAAATGAGGTCAAGGTCAGATGATACATGCCAGACAGACATATACACCTTACAACCATTCCATACACCAAATATAGTTGACCTATTGCTTAAAGTACTTGTAAGACAGACCAAAAAACAAAAACTTAACATTGGCCAATGAACCATGAAAATGAGGTCAAGGTCAGATGATAACTGCCAGACAGACATGTACACCTTACAACCATTCCATACACCAAACATAGTTGACCTGTTGCTTATAGTATATGAAAAACAGACCAAAACACAAAACTTTAACATTAACCAATGAACCATGAAAATGAGGTCAAAGTCAGATGAAACCTGCCAGACTGACAAGTACCCATTACAATCATTCCATAAACCACATATACTTGACCTACTGCTTATAGTATTTGAGAAAAGGATCTAATCACATTACTATTACCTTGATCATTGATCTATGAAATGATGTAAAAAATCAGGTGAACCATCGTCTGATGGACTTGTAGATCTTGCAAGGAACCCATATTCCAAATATGGTTATCCTTTTGCTCATAACAAGTGAGAAATTCACATTACATTATGTAGGGCCCAATTACCATGGATTCATTTATTTTCCTGGGAATAAATTTTTGGGGAGTGAGGAGAACTTGCATTTTCTTTGATATTTGATTTTGTGGTTTTACCAAAGTCTGCAAACATTCGTGTAGAAAATTCATAATTTGTTGGACATTGGAGTTTGTGGTTCCACGAAAATTGGTATCCAGCAGTTAATAATGAATCCATAGTAGTCGTTACAACAGGACATCCCTTTATAATAGAAAACTAGATATGGACAAGCCCCCCCCCCCTTGTTCTGCTTTGCCATATGCATGAGTCTAAGAGTCTAGTTCCACATATTTTAGATTTGACAAACCCTGTGATGTTGGCATACAAGTTGAAATTGTTATGCTGTCTGTAAGACACAAATGATGCCCCTGCCTGACCATAGGAAATTATAAATTTAACACTATGTATGATGATGTAACTGTAGGAGGAGATAGCCAGACAAACCATGATCTCTTTATGCAGCTAGTACCAAAAAAATGACTAAGTGTTGAACTACCTGTCATTTTCAGAATATTTGAAAAAAAATCAAAATCCTGTGGCCATGCATACCTCCATTATGTGTTTAAACATCCTACAAGATATTAAAGCTGTATCTCAAAAACTGCATTAGGAGATAGCTGGACAAACCATGATCTCTTTATGCAGCTGGTACAAAAAAAATACTAAGTCCAACTACATGTCATTTTCAGAATATTTGAAAAAAAAATCAAAATCCTGTGGCCATGCATTGTCACACCTCCTATATGTGTTTGAACATCCTACAAGATATTAAAGCTTCATCTCCAAAACTGTAGGAGGAGATAGCCAGACAAACCATGATCTCTTTATGCAGATAGTACCAAAAAATAACTAAGTCTAACTACTTGTCGGACAAACAATGTATCCTAAATTCATAACGTGTTGTTTTAATTTTTTATAAAAAAAGAACAAAGTAGAAAATCATCTATTGAGTTTTAAAAAAAATTCAAATCAACACATGGCTTTCATAATGTCAAAATAAGCTAAGAAACATCAATGATGAATTATTCACTTGCAAGTGAATAATTCGATCTCATTGAATCCGTATTCATGTGTTCTTCAATTTAACCCATTAGCTAGATTGGATTATACATGACTGATGCGTGTTAGGCTATTAAAAGAAAAGAATGTCAACATTGAAAGTGAAACAAAGGTAAATCATTTGATTGACTGATTGGATCCACAAAAAATCATTCTACACAGGTATAATCGACAATTAACTTATTTTTTTAACCTTAAAATTGAAATCAAACAGATATAGAAAAATCATTCGCACTGGTCCATATATCTTTTTATATGTAGTTTGATGTTTATATCATGTTATGTGACCGTCGGTTGTTTTCGGGGTCAACTCGTCGGTTGTTTTCGAGGTCAACTCGATAGTTAATTAGATGGTGTCTAGACTAAAATACACACGAAACCAAGCTACATATTATCGATCCCATGCCCTGTAAATTGTTTATTTTAGACTTTTTATAATTTGGATAAATATTTTACATTGTTATGAATCTAATACGAGAATTTGAGTCAAATGGTTGAACATAAATTTGACAGACAGTGGCCCTTTAATTATATATAGATTATACTATTAATTTTTTTTAAATGCACATTGGTCACATGAGATATATAGATTTATGTTATCATTCTTTAAATTTGCATCGGATACCACTAATTCTATGAGAATTTTCTAAAAGATTTACATATAAATAAGTTCCATGCAGTTATTTTTTAAATATATATGCTGTATTAAGGGACCATTCCAATGTCATCTGGTAAATTGTTGCAACATTTTTAAGACAAAGTACATCAGTATGTAACACTTTCAGGAAATATACTTTGAACAAATAGATTCAGTTGACTTAAATACAAAATTAAAGGTATAGATAATATTTATGTTTTAAATAAACTAGAGGCTCTCAAGAGCCTGTGTCGCTCACCTGACTCTACTTTGGTTTTAGAAATCATGTAAAGATAGATAAAAATCATAACAGATACCCAAATAATGATTGAGGCCAAATTTTGATTAATATTGGTCCCGTTATTTAATAAAATATCCTGGTGGCCATCTTGAACAGTAAATCGGCAACAAAGTAGCAACACTTGGTCAGCACTTCATAAGGAACATTCATGCCATGTTTGGTTTCATTCCATTCAGTGGTACTCTAAAAGAAGACATTTGTATGTATTTCCCATAGGGTCCTATGTTAAACTAAGCCTACCCCCCCCCCCCCCCCCCCCCCCCCCCTAGCGGCCATCTTGGATGATGGATCGACTGCAAAGTAACAACACTTGGTCAGCAACTCATAAGGAACATTCATGCCATGTTTGGTTCAATTCCATTCAGTGGTTCTCTAAAAGAAGACAATTGTATGTATTTCCCATAGGGTCCTATGTTAAACTAAGTCCCCCTCTGTCGGCCATCTTGGATGATGGATTGGCTGCAAAGTAACAACACTTGGTCAACATCTCATAAGGAACATTCATGCCATGTTTGGTTCCATTCCATTTATTGGTTCTCTAAAAGAAGACATTTTTATGTATTTCCCAAAGGGTCCTATGTAAAACTAAGTCCCCCGCTGGGGGCCATCTTGGATGATGGATCGGCTACAAAGTAACAACACTTGGTCAGCATCTCATAAGGAAGATTCATGCCATGTTTGGTTTCATTCCATTCAGTGGTTCACTAAAAGAAGACATTTGTATGTATTTCCCATAGGGTCCTATGTTAAACTAAGTCCCCCGCTGGCGGCCATCTTGGATGATGGATCGGCTACAAAGTAACAACACTTGGTCAGAACCTCATAAGGAACATTCATGCCATGTTTGGTTTCATTCCATTCAGTGGTTCTCTAAAAGAAGACATTTGTATGTATTTCCCATAGGGTCCTATGTTAAACTAAGTCCCCCGCTGGCGGCCATCTTGGATGATGGACCAACTGCAAAGTAACAACACTTGGTCAGCATCTCATACGGAACATTCATGCCATGTTTGGTTCCATTCCATTCAGTGGTTCTCTAAAAGAAGACATTTTTATGTATTTCCCATAGGGTCCTATGTTAAACTAAGTCCTCCGCTGGCGGCCATCTTGGATGATGGATCGGCTACAAAGTAACAACACTTGGTCAGCACCTCATAAGGAACATTCATGCCATGTTTGGTTTCATTCCATTCAGTGGTTCTCTAAAAGAAGACATTTGTATGTATTTCCCATAGGGTCCTATGTTAAACTAAGTTCCCCGATGGCGGCCATCTTGGAAGATGGATCGGCTACAAAGTAACAACACATGGTCAGCACCTCATAAGGAACATTCATGCCATGTTTGGTTTTATTCCATTCAGTGGTTCTCTAAAAGAAGTCATTTGTATGCATTTCCCATAGGGTCCTATGTTAAACTAAGTCCCCCGCTGGCGGCCATCTTGGAAGATGGATCGGCTACAAAGTAACAACACTTGGTGAGCACCTCATAAGGAACATTCATGCCATGTTTGGTTTTATTCCATTCAGTGGTTCTCTAAAAGAAGTCATTTGTATGCATTTCCCGTAGGGTCCTATGTTAAACTAAGTCCCCCGCTGGCGGCCATCTTGGATGATGGATCGGCTACAAAGTAACAACACTTGGTCAGCACCTCATAAGGAACATTCATGCCATGTTTGGTTTCATTCCATTCAGTGGTTCTCTAGAAGAAGTTCAAAATGTAAAAAGTTAACGCCGACGACGGACGACGACGGACGACGCCGGACGACGCCGGACGACGACGGACGACGGACGCCAAGTGATGAGAAAAGCTCACTTGGCCCTTCGGGCCAGGTGAGCTAAAAATACAGAATAACACAAGCTTACATTAAGAAGATTTTTCCTTTAACATAATTGTTCATTGAATATCATGAACCCTCCAGGGGTTTAATTATTTTTCAAGTTGATTTATATTATATTAATTTGTAAAACTTGCTGATCATTTTTGCTAATTTAAGTTTCTATCTACATGTGACTATTATATTTTTAAGAAAAAGGCAAAAATGCCAAAAAATGGTAAAAATCCTCATTAAAGAGTATTAACTTGAATAAGGCGTTGACTAACGATTTCAACATTGCCAACTTATTTGAAGAAATTGTTTGCTGATCATTTTTACAATTTAAAATTTCTTTCTATCTATTATAGCTTTCAAGATAATAGGCAAAAATAAAAAAAAAGGTAAAATTTGTCATTTAAGGGCAATAACTCCTATAAGAGGTCGTTTGACAGTTTTGAAGTATAAGGACAATTGGTAGAGCTCAACATTCTGAACATTTCAGCCCTTGTCAGATTTTCCCTATTTATAACGGTTATCAAAATAGTAGACCAAACTTGCATTTTACCCTTATGTTCTATTTTTAGCAATTTGAGCAATGTTGGTTGGCAGGTGGAGTTATCAGACACATTTTTCAAACTAATCCCCCAGTAGTTTCAGAGAAGAAGATTTTTGTAAAAGTTAATGGACGACGACGACAACAAATGACGACAGGCTAGGTGAGCTAAAAAAGGAAGAGTGTTGCACCTACTGGTTCCCAGATATTTAGAAACTAATATTTAATAAACAGCTGCGCCATGAGCGCATGATACGCCCGTTGTCTTGTGTGTGAATTTTTATGCAATAAGCATAAATTGTTTCTGACATACGGCGTGACATGCGAAAACCCCCTTTTTTTTACAAAAAACTCAATATCTCTAAAATAAAATTTTGAATCAAAACCAAAAAGTATACAGATCTTTAGATTAATATAACTAAGCAGTGTGTAAAATTTTAAGCAATAATCATAAATCGTTTTTGAGATACGGCGCGACATGTGAAAACCCCCCCGTTTAAAAAAAAAAAATCAATATCTCAAAAATAAAATTTTGAATCAAAACCAAAAAGTATACAGATCTTTAGATTAATATAACTAAGAAGTGTGTAAAATTTTAAGCAATAATCATAAATCGTTTTTGAGATACTGAAAAACCCCTCCCCCTTTTTTTACAAAATACTCAATAACTCAAAAATAAAATTTTGAATCATCACCAAAAAGTATACAGATCTTAAGGTTAATATAACTAAAAAGTGTGTAAAGTTTTAAGCAATAATCATAAACTGTTTTTGAGATACGGCGCGACATGTGAAAAACCCCTCCCCCTTTTTTAACAAAATACTCAATATCTCTAAAATAAAATTTTGAATCATCACCAAAAAGTATACAGATCTTAAGATTAATATAAATAAGAAGTGTGTAAAGTTTTAAGCAATAATCATAAATTGTTTTTGAGATACGGCGCGACATGTGAAAAAAAACACACACCTGTTTTAGTTACTAAGTCCAGTAACTGAAAAAGTTTTAATCTTATTTTCACAAAAAAGTATACAGATCGTTTGACCATCATAAGAAACAACTATGTTAAGTTTCATGAAATTTGGATAAGTCATTCTCAAGTTACGGTGCGACATGTTTACGCCGGACAGACAGACGGATGGACGGACACCGGACATTTGTATACCATAATACGTCCCGTCAAAAATTGACGGGCGTATAAAAACTAATAAGTACATTTCAATCTATAGGAAACCTGCACAACATACACAGTTTTTGAAAGATAACAAGATTTTGTCCATCTCTCTACAAGATGCAAACAAGAAAAACTCTTTCAAGTCTGGCAAGAGGTAATCACAGGTTTCCATGGGTTCTTTTTGAATACCAAAAAAGAAGGATAGCCGATTTAAAAGTAAGTTTAATCATGTTTCCAGAGATTATACCTGAAGTTGGTTATCTAACATTTTTTATTAAAGTTCGCACATTACCACCAAACACAGATCATATTTCAATTTGGGTGGCGTCACTTTTACCCCCAAGTTATGCATCTTTATAACTAATCTATATGCAAATAGGGCGTCCGTCATCTGTGTCCCATAGACACATTTTCCATTTATTTTTTATGCAAAATACCATTATTGTGTCTGTCCTTTGCAAAATTTTAGTGGTCAACCCTTAGAACAACAACTTTTCGAGGAACTCTGCTATAGAGTCATATAAACTTGCTACCTGTTATAAATAAACTCAACATAACTTATACAAGGAATCAAATTTTGTACACCAGACACGTGTTATGTTTGGTCATAAATCAGGCTGTTGGTTTTTTGGTTTGAACTGTTTAATTTCTGTACAGTATGCATTGTGCTCATTGTTCAAGGCTGTTATACAGTGATAAATAATTGCTTAAATCTATTTTAATTGAACTCTATTGGATAGTTGTCTCATTGTGAAATTATAACACCACATCTTCTTTTCTGTTTTGTTACGTTTCACTTACACGCTGTTATTATATTTACAGAGAAGCAATACACACAAGCTTCAACATTTTGTGTTGTCTCCCATGGATATGCAGAGTGTCACTAATGTACCAGGCATTGGTCCTACTTATGCTGGAAGACTAGCACAACAAGGTATTACCCATGTATGTAAGTTTCTACGTTAAACTCTTAAATAGCATGAATTATCATTGGTTACCTTTCTTCTTGTACTTAATTAAAGGCTCTATCCAATGAACCATAAAAGATTTTTTGGCAAATTTATGTAACAGTATACCAGAGGGTCTAGATCTGGAAGGGGGAGGGGGGTCCTTAGTTTCTTTATTGTAATTTTTTATACCATTTTTCTTTAGTCATTATTTATTTTGCCCATTATTCTCTATTCTGTAAACCCCAACCAGACCCTCATACCAAAAAGAATTTAAGTCCATAAATTTACATGCTGTAAAATTTAATGATGTAAAATTTCACAGATTTACAATAATGTCCAGCTTAATTATCTCCCCAAGTTAAAACCAATTGTGCAAAAGTCATCTGCTCTTAAAAAACATTACAGTTTATTAGTATGTCATTATGGAGATGTGGTATGTTTGCAAATGAGACCAAAAGACAAAGATGTCAACTGTGAATAACTACAGGTTGTAATGGCCACTAACAATGACAAAACTCGTACAGCAGATTTATTTTTAGGCAATAGTTGTACTTATACCCGAGTTTATATCTAGGAGAATATAATAAAAAGTTTAAAACAAGTTCACTATACAAATCCTTGATTAAATCAAAACACTTGTGGACACTGTACATTAATTTTTAAGATTGCTTCCATCTAGCAATTTTGCAAATTTAAAATAAATCATTGAATTGTATTTGGCTAAGTAAATTATTTTGAGTTGGAGTTATCTGCCTTTGTTCATGATTGTACATTTGTTGTTGAACCTTATTTTACAACAGATGCATACGCCATGCATTACTTATGTAATTCTAAATAAAAAAAAAGTTTTCTTGACTATAGTATGTTAATTCAACTAGAAAATTTGAGTATTAGTATAAAGCAGAAATTAAGAGTTTAACTGTGCTTAATGAATTAAAGAACCTTAGTGACCGCTCTCACATACCACACGTCCCCACATTGTCATTGGAGAAATAAAATAAGTGTAAAAAAAAAAAAATTGTATAAGAAAAAAAATTGAATCATAATATCCTGTCAATATGCACTTCTACATAGTATGTCCTTATTATCTAAAAAGTTTCATGAAATTCTGTTGTGTGGTTTCAGAGGAGTTGCGATGACAAACTGTTGCAGAAGTACATTGATGCAAATAAGTTCAAAGGGGCGTAACTCCTAGAAAAAAAATTGAAACATAATTTCCTGTCAATATGCACATCTACATAGTATGTCCTTATTATCTAAAAAGGTTTCATGAAATTCTGTTGTGTGGTTTCAGAGGAGTTGCGATGACAAACTGTTGCAGTAGTACATTGAAGCAAATAAGTTCAAAGGGGCGTAACTCCTAGAACAAAAATTGAATCGTAATTTCCTGTCGATATGCACAACTACATAGTATGTCCTTATTATCTAAAAAGGTTTCATGAAATTCTGTTGTGTAGTTTCAGAGGAGTTCCGATGACAAGAAACAGGACTGACGGACGGACGGACTGACGGACGGACGAGTCAAAAACATTATACCCTCCGCAACCCGTTGCGTGGGGTATAAAAATGACAAAAACATCTTTAGGGTGGGCTATTATTAAGACTAAAATGAAGGGTACCTGGAACCACACAATATTTTTATTTGGCCTGTGCATTTATTATTGTGATTTTTCAAGAATGAACAAAAATGTGAATTTAATTAATGCCATTTTAGGAAAAGCTAATATAATTTATATGTAAAAATATGTAAGATATCAGAATGCAAATTCTTATTACTGCAATACTCAAGGAGTCGCATTATTCACATTAATAAAAACATTGCAATAATTTCTGTACTTACAGTACTACTTTTCATGAATTTCAACTTTACAAAATTATTTGTAATATGTTGAAACAATTAAACTGACTACACCCTATCAAATTACTAGATATTTTTTGTATGATGATTGCCAATGAGACAATTATCCACCAGACAAAATTCCATGAATGTATTTGTTTATTTCAATTTCAGCCAAGCCAAATGTATGTGATTTATGTACAATGTCAGAGGAACCAAAGAAAGTTTGTTAATCAGCTTAATCAACTAACTGGAGGACATCAAAACCACATGATCATTACATACAATGGTTTGGATGAATGGCACAAACAGAGAGTTTTCTGATATATGTACTTATAAGTTTATAGAGCATTTTATGAGTTAAACTGATTTTACATTTTCTATATATTTTGCTATTATTGACATTTCTATAAATTTTGCTATTATTTACATATCTGTTTTATAATGTTCAAAATCTCACTCAGATAATTTATTGTGAATATTAATTTTATATTATAATCTGTTATCACAGAGATATGTCTCGCCTTTTTGTAATTTTAATAATACAAATGTTGAAATTAAAATAGCAATACTTTAACATGTAAGTTATGCAAATATTCAAAGTTGATGAACCATGACTGAAGGTACATGGCTAAACAATCTCCATGGAATGAGATGTGCCAATGCTTATACAACTGCATACCAAATACCATTGACTTATTATAAGACGTTCCCTTTAAACAAACCTAAACACAAACATTAACTTGTAAACTATGTAAAAGTTTCAAAGTCAATGTACCATGATCAGGGGTGGGGCTATATAATCTCCATGGAAACGATAATTGCAAATGCCAATAAATTTGCATACCAAATATCATTGACTTAACATTAGCAGTTCATTTTAAACTGATCTAATCACAAACTAATACATGTAAACTAAGCAAAAGTTTCAAAGTAAATAGACCATGACTGAGGGGGCGGGGCCAAATATTTTCCATGGAAATGAGATGTGCTAATGCTTATACAACTGAACACCAATTAACATTGACCTACCACTAATGGTTCCCCTTGAACTGACCTAATCACAAACTAATACATGTAAACTTAGCAAAATTTTCAAAGTCTATAGACCATGACTAAGGGGGCGGAGGCAAGTAATCTCCATGGAAATGAGATATGCCAATGCTTATACAACTTCATACCAAATATCATTGACCTACCACTAGTGGTTCCGCATAAATTGACCTCATCACAAACTAACACATGTAAACTATGAAAAGTTTCAAAGTCAATAGACCTTGACTAAGGGGGCGGGGCCAAATAATCTCCATTATAATGAGATGTGCCAATGCTAATACAACTGCATACCAAATATCATTGACCTACCACTAGTGGTTCACCATGAACTAGACCTAATCACAAACTAATACATTGTTGATGCCGCCAAAAACAGCATACCTATGTCTCGCTTTTTGACTCCGCCAAGGCGAGACAAAAATAATGCATGAATGCATTTATGTTGTACTAATGTTTTAAGACTTATATAGAAATTTGTTCATTAATGAATATGTGTGTGCATCAATTTGTATGATAGGTTAATTGATTTATTGGTCTATACCCTCACTTTCAGCGCTATTGGCTATTTAGTGGTGGTCAATTTTTTATGATGGGGGAATTCTGAGTGTCTGGAGAGAACCACACCTTTGACAGCTTTGACAGGAAAACTGACAATCCTTGTTATAATTACGATTGGAGTGCAGACTTCAAACTCACAGCCTCAGTGTTGAGAGGCTAGTCATACAGTAGTTAATCTACTTAGTCCACTTGGCCACCAGACCCTCAGTATTTATGAAAATCATTATAGACCTTAATGTTGTTAGTTTTAGATCTGGTATTAAAAGATTTATTTACATTATGATGGAATTACCATTGTTTAAGTTCTACATGTATAATATCTATATATCTGGATTTTTTTTTTGGGGATAAAGAGACAATATAACCTCATGGTTGTACACTTTTTATAATCTATTTATAAGCATAAGCCCTTTATAGCTTGCTGTTCGGTGTGAGCCAAGGCTTCGTGTTGAAGACTGTACTTTGACCTATAATGGTTTACTTTTACAAATTGTGACTTGGATGGAGAGTTGTCTCATTGGCACTCATACCACATCTTCTTATATCTATAAGCAGGAATCCAACTAGAATGAACACAGAATGTAAAATTACTAGACGTTTTAGAAAAATTTGATTCAGTTTTTACAGGACTTTTAAATTTTCTTACAACATGCAATGGATGTCAATAACCAAAGGGAGAGAATGTGTATTACTAAATTTAAACACTAGTTTATAATTAATGCTGAAATAATTTGGTTTTATTTAAGAATTTCCTTTTTATACATTTTTAATATAGTTACCCCATGCAATTTTAACAACTTTTTCAAACTATACTCATTAGTCATTATGAATTTGAAACTTTTGTCCATTTCCTTTTTTTTTAATTAAGTTTATTTTATGATTTAGTAGTTTTGGATTTTATTTTATTCTATCATTGTAAAGAAAAATTGTTTTACTTTGAATTTATCATTATATATTTAATTTTATTTGTTGTACCATTAATTAGGATAATTATTTTGTTTTGTACTGCATTGTTAGAAAATTGATTTGTTATTATCATTCATCTAATTGTTATTGTTGATTAAATTATGAAACCAATCCTTGTATTCCAGCTAGGCCTATCAAAATATTAATTATTTAGACTGAAATTCCCCTTAAATTTGCCACCTATTTAGAATTAGTCATAATACTGTTAGAACCTCAGATAACACACATGGAGCTATGATACTGCGAATTTAAGTTAGGATTGGTTGATTGATTGATTGGTTGGTGTTTAATGCCACTTTCAGCAATATTAGCTATTTCTTGGTGGTCAGTTTTTATTGGTGGAGGAAGCAGGAGTGCCAATATTGTGAACCATGCACACATCATCGACAGGAAAATTGATAATCCTAGTCAATTAATATTGGAGTCAAATGCACCTGACACGTGCAGGATTTAAACTCACAACCTCAAGTGTTGACAGGTAAGTGAAACAATAGTTGGGACTAGATGAGACCACTCAGCTCCCAAAGCCCCCAAGTTAAGATTGAAAGAAAAGACTTGTTGAACATGGCCCCTTTTATGAAATAAAATCAGGGGAAATGGACCCTTCCTCTAGATCTTTGATTTTAAAGTCAAATCAACCTTAAATATGAATATAAAATAAAATTGAGAAAGGAAACCGGAATGTGTCAAAGAGATAACAACCCAACCAAAGAGCAGTAAACAGCCCTGGGCCAAGCATATTATGCACAATAAAGTCTAATTCAAAAATATTTCCTTACAATTAAGTGTTTGAGGTAAGGCAAATAAGCACTTTATTCCAGTTTCAGAAGTCCAGCAAACTGAACTTTGCACTGACTTTTTAATATTGCAACTCATCAATAGACATGTTTACAAATTATATTTAGTGGGTCTCATTGGGGTCTAAGCATGACGCGGGATTGCCGATTTTTTGTAAGCGCGACACATGAAAGTCAAATTATTGTGCTGTGAATACAGAAAATGAAGTCTAGCGGGACACAGGAAATTACAAAAAAAAGTGAATTGCTTACGTACATAGTGTAAGCGGGATACGGGAATCTGACAAAACAGTAAGCGGGATCCGGGAACCGAACCCCCCAATGAGACCCCCTATTTATTTGTTGACAACCCACTGACTTTTACTCAATCTCTTTTAATTTATATCTACCCAAGGCCACAAATGGGTCTTCAATGAAGTAAGATAATCAAGCATCCAGAGGTGAGCTTCAGCTGGCCCCCTTAACAATAATGCAACTTTATAGAAAATATCACAAGTAGTCACTATCAAACTGACTTAAGCAGAAAACTTTAAATAATTAATTCAAAATCACTGGACCATTACATACATGACCTAGGGGGCAGGGGCTCGAAATAATCGTCAAACTGCTAGATTTGTTATGATAGTAATGCAACTTAATAGAAAATATCTTCATTTATCACATGTAGTTCCTATCAAATTGACTTAAGTTACAAAAGAGTCACTGGACCATGACCTAAAGGGGAAAGCCTTGAAAAGTCCTAAAACTGATATGTCATGTGTTACCTAAGGGTAATGCATCTTCATACAAAACATCATTAATCTAGCTATCACATGTAGTTCATGATCCAACTAACTTAAGCAGAAAAATCAAAATTAACAATGAAAATAGTCAAATAATTCAAAGTCATTGGACCATGGGAAACCCCCCCTGTAAATCTGCCTCTGATTAAGGCGTCTGATTTCTAACAAATGAAAACAAATTTAATATTTCTAGCTATGGCAATCTTTACTGTTTTTAAAATTTAGCTAAAATGTCATGAATAATCTCCTTCTTTTTAAAAAACTAGCAATATATAGATATCTATTTTGGGGATAATTGGTCAATTCTGTTACTGTTTATTTAAATTGTTACCATAGCATACTTTGTATTGTAATAAATTTGTACTACGATTCATATGATGATTTTCTAGAACAACAAAAAAAGTCATACATTTTCTGGAACTATCTTTGAGTACCTATTAATACACTTTTTTCTGGAACTATCTATGATTTATACCTATAAATACATTTTCTAGAACTATCTTTTGTGTTTAAATACATTGTCAAGTTTAACTAAGCTCAGTCACACTGAGAACCAGGAACCAAACCCTGTGTGATCCGGTAATTTTGTAACAAAGACAAAGCACATCAGGAAAAAGATAAAGGACAAATTTATTCATCAGACTTCAACAAGAATAAAAGGTAAAAAAATTGGATTGTTAATGTTTAAACGTAATATTGAATGACATCAGATACGACGTGTCATTCGGCATATCGAGGAAAATGATTGTGAAAGAATAACTACAGTGGTCGAGCATTGTGATCAGATCTGAAAAATCTGGTTTTGAATTGTGAATGCAATTTGGTGCAATTCTACTTCAAAATCTGTGAAAAATCTCCTGTATTTTCAAAAGGTGGAACAAATTAGAAAAAGAACTTTGTCAATATGATTCAACTTCCTTAATAGTACTGCGCAGAATTCTAACATTGTTGGGCTAATTTTGAGACAAATCATATACATATACATAGACGCATATCAAGATCAGTTTTTATCTAAGAGGCAACGTGAAACTGGGCATCCAAGATAATAAGACCCCCACAGGCATGTCAATTTGTCAAAAAGTAAATGTGTATGTTTTCAGAAATGCTAAATGCATCCCACAAATGAGTGAAGCAAGAGGGGGTCTTGTGGTCTTCCCCTGAAAATATCTTAATGTGTACATTTTTGTTTTCATAAAGGTTGCAAATTTATGAAGCTATATCATTTAATTTATATACATGTATATTGAAGCTGTTCTTTCTATGAACAATTCAAACTTTTCTGATTGGGTCCAACTAAAAATTACAAACACCACATATACCCGTTGCATTACGTTTCCGCAGATTACCATAACATTTGTGCGCAAAAATCATTAAGTTTGCGTGCAGCTTTAAATAACATTTGCTCACATTTATTTGACAGGTAAACTCAGGTAAATACAGGTAATAATACTTATCTATTTATAATTTTTTTCAATTATTTACAAGTGCATTAGTACCCCTTGTTTCCATATGTTTGTGCCTTAGTGCATTGTCCCAACTTTACAAACTATAACTTAAATCATTTACTCATTTAAAAGCATCACTATTCGGTGAAACACTATTCACTCTGAAATATTCACAATGAAGTTGCAAGAATATTTTTATAACGGGATTTATCATGATCACTTTATATTTTGTTTTAGAATTCAATATGAATAATATGTAATTTGAATTAACAAAAATTTTCAAATAAATAATTTATAGTCATATTTCTTATGAAAATTGACAAATTATAGTCATATTTATATTTTTATATGATTTTTATTCATATTACCGGTACCTTTATTTTTACCTGAGTTTCCCTGTAAAATAAATGCACGCAAATGTAATCAAAAGGTGTATGAAAACATCAAATTTGTTTTATCTCCAAATGCACGCAAACTTATATAAATGCTGTCACATATACAGATTCTTGAGTTGATTGTCTATTTTGGTTATGTTGACGTATTCATTTGAATCTTATTTTATCAGGTTTTTCTATAATTTATATATTTCAGATCATCAGAATGAGTACTTCCCAGAAACATCAGATGTTTGTTTCCTCTCCAATGGACATCCAGAATGTTATTAATGTCCCAGGCATTGGTCCTGCTTATGCTAAAATCTTAGGACAACAAGGTTATATGCAGGTACGTAAGTTTCTTCATTTAATTCTAAAATAAAAGTGACAACTTATTGTAAATTTTTTGTTGATTTGCAAGTGTTCATCTTTAATATCTCCACTCGAATTGAAACCATTTTGCAAAAGTTTTCTAATTCTTAAAAAGGACAACTGGTATCACTAAAGGTGTCAGACCACCAATTAAAAATCGCTATCTTTCAACCAAATTTTGCACTTTTCACAGTTTTCTAAATATTTTACCTTAAGTTTACTTCATAGATTGATTGATTGTTGGTGTTTTAACGCCACTTTTAAGCGCCACATTTGGGCTATTTCGTGGCGGCCAGTTTTTATTGGTGGAGGAAGCCGGAGTGCCCGGAGAAAACCACCCACCTTCGATAGGAAAACTGACAATCCTAGTCAATTAAGATTGGAGTCGAGTGCACCCGCACGAGCGGGGTTCGAACTCACAACCTCAGTGTTGACTGGCTAGTGATTACAGTAGTAGAACTACTTAGACCACTTGGCCACCGAGGCCCCCTACTTTATAGAAACCAGGTATATCGTGAATCGTATTTGTATCACCTTTCTACATGCCAATTTTCAACCCGTGTTTAAAGTCTTGTAACAAAGAACTGCCTTTCTGAAGCCAAGTTTTACTTAAAATAACCCCTGGTTTTCTGGAAATCTTAAATTAGTATTCTATAAAGTGCATTAATCCTCAATTGTTAATGCTAACTCATAAACAGGTAAATTTTAGCTCAAAATGGTCTAAATATATTTCTCTTTCACCAAAAGTTTCATTTCTGCAAATTTGTTGGTTCAAGTTTTAGTAAGCAATGACATCAAAAGCACTATTTTTGTCAGAATAGGGCTTAGTCTACTTTTACAAACGTTCTAAATTGGAGGGAGTGAATTGGTGGTGTGACACTTAAAGGACAGAATAGTAGACAAAATTAACTACTTATAAAAAATAAAAGACAACTAAAAGCAAGCACTCAAGGTTATGATTACATGTGAAAAATTAACATACATCTTGATGACAACTAAGTCCCATATCTCTGGTCGACAAAACACAAAATCAAATGGGAGCTTCCTTTTAATCAATTTAAACAATATTGCAAAGTTTTGAGGAAATCATTGCAGGCATACTGGATGAAAATGTGCTATATGTGAAAAATTGCCTAACTTTTTCAAAATGGGTAAAGTCAGTAACTCAATGACAATCACATGGCCAATAATGTTTAAAATATCCAAAAGGGAGAGCTCTTTCTTTTTTCTATCCTACTGTTGTGTTAAAATTACATGAGAATTCGTTAAAGCAAATTTGAGTATACATATTGAAGAATAATTCATACATCTGTTCAGGCAGAAACCCAGTTGAAATAGAACAAAAGAATCGCAGCTCTTTGTTAGAGAAGGCGATAAATGCTTACTGTTATGTTTACTATAGTAACAAAAATTTTAAAAGTTAATAGAAACAAATAAAATGACAGTTTTCGGCTAAATAACAAAGTATTTTATCATAAAACACCATTTGCATAAGTTCTCAATTTATTTATTACATAATTAAGCACAACAATTAGATATCAAGTCGACGACATGGGTGTCTATTAAGTTGGATCTAAAAAATGCATAACCACCGATTTAAAAAAAAAAATACCACGGACGGAGAACATATCAATCTATTTGTTCCTTAATTTTCGTTTCTGCCCTTCCATTATGTGACTCAAGAAAATATTCCAAAAATGGGTAATAATTGCATCGAAAAGAGAAAATCGAGTGTACCTTTTTAAGATACGGCGTGTTTGAGTTGAATATTTTGTCTTGAAAACGTTAAAAGCAAAAGTATTTGATACATCATCTCGCTTCAGATTCTATCATTTTTATATATCAAGGCTACAGGTTGACTTCATAACATCAAAAATTCACAGAACTAAAAAATGAAATATATGGGTCAAGTGAAATACCTTTCTAATGAATCACAAAAACAGAGTAGGTGTGTTCGAATAGCCAATTTTTACTAAAAGTACTTGACGACAGACTTTTAAGTTGGATCTTAAAAATGCATATCTTCGAAAACACTTCATTTTTTGTGTGTGATATCTAGGGTTTATAGTCTTCAACCACTGAAAATTTTTAGTCTACCCTTCCACGAAATATTGAATTAGAATTTTTTTAAATGTTTATGAATTTTCGAAAATTCCAGCTGACAACCGATCCGACAATAGTTTTTAGTTGACTGAATGCTGACAAGTACATTAACTGATGCTCATTAGCTAGTAGATACATTTGTCTTTTATTAAAATACAACTGGCATCTAATGATCATAATGGTGCTATGTGGATAAATTAATCGGTTTTTAAGAGCTAAATTAGCAGCTTCCATTTTACGATTGTAAAAATGAACTGGCGTAATGGGGAGATAATTTTGACGAAGTAGAATCCTGACTGTGTTATCATCATAGTATGAAATGTTTAAATCCTACTGACAGTTTACAGTTGTCCATGTAATCTTTATTGTGTCTTAAAATACTATATTAATCTGTTCATGAATTATTCAAGAAATACTCTTAATAATTTCACGGTTTCTTTTATTTTCAGGCCAGCCAACTATATGCAATGTATGTTCAGGATCTAAGAAACCAACAACAATTTGTTCTCAACCTTCAACAATTGACTGGGGGAAAACCATACTTTCTGAAGCAGGCATTCTTTGCTTTGGATGAATGGGACAGACAGTTTGGCAGATAAACATTTTTAAATTAGTAAGTTTTTTGTTTTCACTTCTCTGCATATTTTAATTATTTAAGCCTGGGTACTCAGGTTACCCAGCTGTTATTAAGATAAACTACATTAACACACATGTTAAACAGATATTGATTTGATATTAAGCAATAACCTAGATTTAAATAGAATACAATGATACATACATTGTGAAATTTTACATGTCACAAATAGTCATGATATAAAGAATACTCCACTATTAATAAAAAAAATATTTACGCTCAACAGGAATTAACTCACAGTTGTTTGTTTATATTGCAATTGGCTATCAGGCATTTCTTTTCTGTATGCTCATTCAATTATCTCATAACAAGTTTCATTCGATTTTCTGGGAAGAATCCATTTTGTTTTCAAAGGGGGCATACAAACTTTTGCACCACCACCCTGCCCCCCTAAAAAGCATATATTTGTAAGTGTAACAGTTCATCTGAACTCTTTAAGTGTTCCCCTTACAAATATTTTGGACCATTATAAATGACTCTCCATCAATAACCTGTTATGCAACCTAATGCTAAACTGCTGAGGTTAAGATCAGGAATTAGAATCTGAGTAGGATTATTATCTCCCCTTATTTTCCCCTAGCAGTAGTTGACATCTCTATATATTATTGTTACCATTAAGAAGATTATTTTTATAAAACTGACAGAACAAAACTTTTAATAATAAGTCTAATGACCGATGATTATTATATTTCAGATTTTTCAACTATTTACTATCAACTTAAGGAGATGCATGCCGGCCCAGACTGGTTACCTTTATTCCTTGATTCACCGATGAAGACAACTTTGACAATTTCTGGAACCTTTCGGACATGTTGTATAAATACTGAATCTACAGCTAACAGTTGGTTTCATGGAACCAAAAGAACCATAAACAATTTGATTCAATTTTAGTCATACCAGACTGAATTTACTAGAACTTTGAATTTCAATGAACAATCTAGGCTAATGTCTAGCCACCCACGAGGCTTGCCAAGCTGTTTAAATAATTAAAATTAACTAACCAGAGTGGAGAAATATTGCAATACACGAGTTATAGTGGTGGAATCTGTTTCTCTGATGATTTAACAAAGTTTATCCTAACTTTTCAAAGATTTGCAGAAAGTTGTGTTCTTTATATGTGATGTCATCAGACATGGTCGTCCATTTTCACAATATCAAAATAGAAAATTCAGAAGAAACCAAGAAAATTTGATGTCATAATTGAATTTCGACCAATCATTAGCTGAGATCAAAGTTTTCTGTAGACATGAGAAATAATTTTCTCAAATCTATCGAGAAACATAAAATAAAGCATGAAAATAAGAGAAAAGTCATTTACTGTTTATTTCAAATTTTACAGACCATTTGAAATTCTTGGATAAGTCAACTATTGTCAACTTAAGTCTTGGCTTAAATTTTATCAGATTTAAGTTTAAAGTCAGTTTATAATATGTTGGTTCCATTTTTAAATATCTAGTATTCTACAATGTATTAGCTGAGGAACCACAGCTCTTCAAGATATCATGAGGACCTAAGAGCTAGTCGGTTCGATTCAGGAGCAAGTAAGGTATATGTTGGATGCATTATATGAATTATGTTGGTATAACAAAGTTTAATAAACAATAATTTTTCATAACTTTTTTTAATTGTGATTTAGATGCCCTGCAAGAGAAATACCCCCTAATACTTGTATATTATTCTTAATATAGGAGAAACACCTCGTTCAGATATAATTACAGAGGACACCAAACTAACACAAAACAAAAACTTGATAAAACAATCTTAGTTTAAAAGTAACACTAGGAAACATCTTAAAGGGCAGTAGGTTCTAGATGAATGATACATATTCTTAATAACCCTTTATCAAAACCTTGAACTGAACCAATAACCCCAATTCTAACTGCTTTATTTCAGTGCACATATGAAATAAAACAAGAGTGCTTTACTGACCATTGATTTTATGATGAAAGTCTTAAAGATGAAGGTTTATCTAAAAACATCACAGAAACTAAGGTCAGATAAATGCTGTCAGACTGACCTTATACACCTTACAATTTTTTATACACAAAATATAATTACCTATTGCTTATAATTGAAAAACAGACCAAAACAAAAAAACTAAACATTGACCAATAAACCATGAAAATGAGGCCAAGGTCAGATGTCCCGATGATATATATACCTGCTGGACAGACATATACACCTTAAAACCGTTCCATACACAACATAGAGTAAACCTATTGCTTAAAGTACTTGAAAAATATACCAAATCACAAAAACTCAACATTGACCAATGAACCATGAAAATGAGGTCAAGGTCAGATGACACATGCCAGACAGACATATACACCTTACAACCATTCCATACACCAAATATAGTTGACCTATTGCTTAAAGTACTTGTAAGACAGACCAAAAAACAAAAACTTAACATTGGCCAATGAACCATGAAAATGAGGTCAAGGTCAGATGATAACTGCCAGACAGACATGTACACCTTACAACCATTCCATACACCAAACATAGTTGATCTGTTGCTTATAGTATATGAAAAACAGACCAAAACACAAAACTTTAACATTAACCAATGAACCATGAAAATGAGGTCAAAGTCAGATGAAACCTGCCAGACTGACAAGTACCCATTACAATCATTCCATAAACCACATATACTTGACCTACTGCTTATAGTATTTGAGAAAAGGATCTAATCACATAACTATTACCTTGATCATTGATCTATGAAGTGATGTCAAGATCAGGTGAACCATCGTCTGATGGACTTGTAGTTCTTGCAAGGAACCCATATTCCAAATATGGTTATCCTTTTGCTCATAACAAGTGAGAAATTCACATTACATTATGTAGGGCCCAATTACCATGGATTCATTTATTTTCCTGGGAATAAATTTTTGGGGAGTGAGGAGAACTTGCATTTTCTTTGATATTTGATTTTGTGGTTTTACCAAAGTCTGCAAACATTCGTGTAGAAAATTCATAATTTGTTGGACATTGGAGTTTGTGGTTCCACGAAAATTGGTATCCAGCAGTTAATAATGAATCCATAGTAGTCGTTACAACAGGACATCCCTTTATAATAGAAAACTAGATATGGACAAGCCCCCGTCCCCCTTGTTCTGCTTTGCCATATGCATGAGTCTAAGAGTCTAGTTCCACATATTTTAGATTTGACAAACCCTGTGATGTTGGCATACAACTTGAAATTGTTACGCTGTCTGTAAGACACAAATGATGCCCCCTGCCTGACCTCAAGAAATTATAAATTTAACACTATGTATGATGATGTAACTGTAGGAGGAGATAGCCAGACAAACTAAACCATGATCTATTTATGCAGCTAGTACCAAAAAAATGACTAAGTGTTGAACTACCTGTCATTTTCAGAATATTTGAAAAAAAATCAAAATACTGTGGCCATGCATACCTCCATTATGTGTTTGAACATCCTACAAGATATTAAAGCTTCATCTCAAAAACTGTAGGAGGAGATAGCTGGACAAACCATGATCTCTTTATGCAGCTGGTACAAAAAAAATACTAAGTCCAACTACCTGTCATTTTCAGAATATTTGAAAAAAAAATCAAAATCCTGTGGCCATGCATTGTCACACCTCCTATATGTGTTTGAACATCCTACAAGATATTAAAGCTTCATCTCCAAAACTGTAGGAGGAGATAGCCAGACAAACCATGATCTCTTTATGCAGCTAGTACCAAAAAATAACTAAGTCTAACTACTTGTCGGACAAACAATGTATCCTAAATTCATAACGTGTTGTTTTAATTTTTTATAAAAAAAGAACAAAGTAGAAAATCAGCTATTGAGTTTTTAAAAAAATTCAAATCAACACATGGCTTTCATAATGTCAAAATAAGCTAAGAAACATCAATGATGAATTATTCACTTGCAAGTGAATAATTCGATCTCATTGAATCCGTATTCATGTGTTCTTCAATTTAACCCATTAGCTAGAGATGGATTATACATGACTGATGCGTGTTAGGCTATTAAAAGAAAAGAATGTCAACATTGAAAGTGAAACAAAGGTAAATCATTTGATTGACTGATTGGATCCACAAAAAATCATTCTACACAGGTATAATCGACAATTAACTTATTTTTTTAACCTTAAAATTGAAATCAAACAGACATAGAAAAATCATTCGCACGGGTCCATATATCTTTTTATATTTATGTTGATGTTTATATCATGTTATGTGACCGTCTGTTGTTTTCGGGGTCAACTCGTCGGTTGTTTTCGAGGTCAACTCGATATTTAATTAGATGGCGTCAAGACTAAAATACACAGGAAACGAAGCTACACATTATCGAGCCCATGCCCTGTAAATTGTTTATTTTAGACTTTTTATAATTTGGATAAATATTTTACATTGTTATAAATCTTAATATGAGAATTTGAGTCAAATTGTTGAACATGAATTTGACAGATAGTGGCCCTTTAATTATATATAGATAATACTATCCATTTTTTTTAAATGCACATTGGTCACATGAGATATATAGATTTATGTTATCAATTTTTAAATTTGCATCGGATACCACTAATTCTATGAGAATTTTCTATAAGATTAACATATAAATAAGTTCCATGCAGTTATTTTTTAAATATATATGCTGTATTAAGGGAACATTCCAATGTCATCTGGTAAAGTGTTGCAACATTTTTAAGACAAAGTACATCAGTATGTAACATTTTCAGGAAATATACTTTGAACAAATAGATTCAGTTGACTTAAATACAAAATTAAAGGTATGGATACTATTTATGTTTTAAATAAAAAATACAGAATAACACAAGCTTACATCAAGAAGATTTTTTCTTTAACATAATTGTTCATTGAATATCATGAACCCTCCAGGGGTTTAATTATTTTTCAAGTTGATTTATATTATATTAATGTGTAAAACTTGCTGATCATTTTTGCTAATTTAAGTTTCTATCTACATGTAACTATTATAATTTTTAAGAAAAAGGCAAAAATGCAAAAAACAATGGTAAAAATCATCATTAAAGGGCATTAACTTTAATAAGGCGTCGACTAACGATTTCAACAATGCCAAATTGTTTGAAGAAATTGTTTACTGATCATTTTGGCAATTTAAAATTTCTTTCTATTTATTATAGCTTTCAAGATAATAGGCAAAAATAAAAAAAAAAGGTAAAATTTGTCATTTCAGGGCAATAACTCCTAGAAGAGGTCGTGTGACAGTTTTGAAGTATAAGGACAATTGGTAGAGCTCAACATTCTGAACATTTCAGCCCTTGTCAGATTTTCCCTATTTATAACGGTTATCAAAATAGTAGACAAAACTTGCATTTTACCCTTATGTTCTATTTTTAGCAATTTGGGCAATGTTGGTTGGCAGGCGGGGTCATCGGACACTTTTTTCAAACTAATCCCCCAGTAGTTTCAGAGGAGAAGATTTTTGTAAAATTTAATGGATGACGACGACAACAGATGGCGACAGATGATGGCCGCCAAGTGATGAGAAAAGCTCACTTGGCCCAATGGGCCAAGTGAGCTAAAAAAGGAAGAGTGTTGCACTTATTGGTTCCCAGATATTTAAAAACTAATATTTAAACACTAATAAGTACATTTCAATTTATAGGAAACCTGCACAACATACACAGTTTTTGAAAGATAACAAGATTTTGTCCATCTCTCTACAAGATGCAAACAAGAAAAACTCTTTCAAGTCTGGCAAGAGGTAATCACAGGTTTCCATGGGTTCTTTTTGAATACCAAAAAAGAAGGATAGCCGATTTAAAAGTAAGTTTAATCATGTTTCCAGAGATTATACCTGAAGTTGGTTATCTAACATTTTTTATTAAAGTTCGCACATTACCACCAAACACAGATCATATTTCAATTTGGGTGGCGTCACTTTTACCCCCAAGTTATGCATCTTTATAACTAATCTATATGCAAATAGGGCGTCCGTCATCTGTGTCCCATAGACACATTTTCCATTTATTTTTTATGCAAAATACCATTATTGTGTCTGTCCTTTGCAAAATTTTAGTGGTCAACCCTTAGAACAACAACTTTTCGAGGAACTCTGCTATAGAGTCATATAAACTTGCTACCTGTTATAAAAAAAACTCAACATAACTTATACAAGGAATCAAATTTTGTACACCAGACACGTGTTATGTTTGGTCATAAATCAAGCTGTTGGTCATTTCGTCATTATAGGACCGTTTATAATTTATGTACAGTATGCATTGTGCTCATTGTTGAAGGCTGTTACAGTGATAAATAATTGCTTAAATCTACTTTATTTGAACTCTATTGGATAGTTGTCTCATTTGAAATCATAATACCACATTACCTTTTCTATTTTGTTACATATCACTTAAATGCTGTTATTATATTTACAGAGAAGCAATACACACAAGCTTCAGCATTTTGTGTCGTCTCCCATGGATATGCAGAGTGTCACTAATGTTCCAGGCATTGGTCCTACTTATGCTGGTAGACTAGCCCATAATGGTATAACCCATGTACGTAAGTTTCTACGTTAAACTCTTAAACATTTATTGGTTGCCTTTCTTGTACTTAAATAAAGGCTCAAATAACCATATTAAAGATTTTTTGGAAAAAATTATGTATTTAAAGCTTTCCAGAGGGTGTGTATGAGGGGTCCTTCATTTCTTTATTCTTTATTTATTTTGATCATTATTCTCTATTCTTTATAATCTAGCCCCCACCCCAAACCCCTATTCTTCTCTATTCTTAATTTTGCTTTCCCTTAATTCTGCACTTTTTGTCCATTATTCTCTTTTCTGTAAACCCCATCCAGACCCTTACACCAAACAGAATTTAAGTCTATAAAGAGACAACTTGCTGTAAAATTCAATGTTGTAAAATTCACAGATTTACTTTAATAGTTATAAGAAGATGTGGTATGAGTGCCAATGAGACAACTCTCCATCCAAGTCAAAATTTATAAAAGTAAACCAATAAATGTCAAAGTACGGTCTTCAATGTCCAGTTTAATTATCTCCACTTGAATTAAAACCAATTGTGCAGAAGTCATCTGCACTCAAAGAAACATTACAGTTTATTAGTATGTTATTATGGAGATGTGGTATGTTTGCAAATGAGACCAAAAGACAAAGATGTCAACTGTGAATAACTACAGGTTGTAATGGCCACTAACAATGACAAAACTCGTACAGCAGATTTATTTTTAGGCAATAATTGTACTCATACCCGAGTTTATATCTAGGAGAATATAATAAAAAGTTTAAAACAAGTTCACTATACAAATCCTTGATTAAATCAAAACACTTGTGAATACTGTACATTAATTTTTAAGATTGCTTCCATCTAGCAATTTTGCAAATTTAAAATAAATCACTGAATTGTATTTGGCTAAGTAAATTATTTTGAGTTGGAGTTATCTGCCTTTGTTCGTGATTGTACATTTGTTGTTGAACCTTATTTTACAACAGATGCATACGCCATGCATTACTTATGTAATTCTAAATAAAAAAAAAAGTTTTCTTGACTATAGTATGTTAATTCAACTAGAAAATTTGAGTATTAGTAAAAAGCAGAAATTAAGAGTTTAACAGTGCTTAACGAAAAATGACAAAAACATCTTTAGGGTAAGCTATTATTAAGACTAAAATGTAGGGTACCTGGAACCACACAATATTTTTATTTGGCCTGTGCATTTATTATTGCGATTTTTCAAGAATGAACAAAAATGTGAATTTAGTTAATGCCATTTTAGGAAAAGCTAATATAATTTATATGTAAAAATATGTAAGATATCAGAATGCGAATTCTTATTACTGCGATGCTCAAGGAGTCGCATTATTCACATTAATAAAAACATTGCAATCATTTCTGTATTTACAGTACTACTTTTCATGAATTTTAACTTTACAAAATTATTTGTAATATGTTGAAACAATTAAACTGACTACACCCTATCAAATTACTAGTTATTTTTGTATGATGATTGCCAATGAAACAATTATCCACCAGAGACAAAATTCCATGAATGTATTTGTTTATTTCAATTTCAGCCAAGCCAAATGCATGTGATTTATGTACAATGCCAAAGAAACCAAAGAAAGTTTGTTAATCGGCTTAATCAACTAACTAGCGGACATCAAAATCATTTGATCCGCACGTACAATGGTTTGGATGAATGGCACAAACAGAGAGTTTTCTGATACATGTACTTAAAAGTTTATGGAACATATCATGATTTCAATTGTTTTTACATTTTCTATATTTTTTCCTATTATTTACATATTAAACTGATAATGTTAAAAATCTTATACTAATATTTTATTTTGAATATTGATTTTATTAAAATAATGCATGATTGCATTTATATTGTACTAAGGTTTTCAGACTTATGTAGAATTAATGTTTGCTTATTAATGACAGATACGTGTATGCATCAGTATTTAAGATTAGTTGATTAATTCATTGGTGTATAATCCTACATTCACTTTAAAAAGATTGAGACAATATAACCTCATCATCATGTTGTACAATTTATAATCTATTTTTAAGCATATGATGCTGGACTAAGCAGGAGTCCAACTAGAATGAACGCAGAATGTAAAATTGCTGTTTCTTTTAAGACATTTTAAAAAAATAATCAGTTTTTGCAGGATTTTTTTTTTTTTTTCATGCAGTGGATGTCAATAACCAGAGGAAGAGTTTGTGTATTACAAAATTTAAACAGTAGTTTATAATTAATCCGAAAATAATTTTGTTTTGCTTAAGAATTTCCTTCTTATACATTTTTAATATAGTTTCCCAAAATTTAACAATTTTTTAATTAATTTTTTGTAATTAATAGATATAAGAAGATGTGGTATGAGTGCCAATGAGACAACTCGATATCTCCATCCAAGTCACAATTTGTAAAGGTAAACCATTATAGGTCAAGGTACGGCCTTCAACACGGAGCCTTAGCTCACACCGAAACAGCAAGCTATAATAAATAAAAGGGCCCCAAAAATGACTAGTGTAAAACCATTCAAACAGGAAAACCAACGGTCTATTATCTAAATAAAAAACAAGAAACAAGAAACACTTATGAACCACATCAACAAACGTCAACTACTGAACATCAGATTCCAAAATGTATTATTTTGAATTTGAACTTTTGTTCATTTTCTTTTTTTTTAAATTAAGTTTATTTTATGATTTAGTAGTTTTAAATTTTATTTTATCTTATAATTATAAAGAGGAATTGTTTTACTTTGGACTATATATTTAATTTTATTTGTTGTACAATTAATTAGGATATTTATTTTAATTATTGGGTATTGTTCAAAAATGTATTTGTTATTTATTTATTATCATTCAATTAAATTGTTATTGTTGATTAAATTATGAAAACAATACTTGTGTTTTACCTATGCTTATCAGAATATTAAGTTTATCAATAAACTGACCCCCCTGTCCCTTACAAGTAACGCTCCCTCTTATCTAACAGTGCTCTGGACCTTGGAGACGTATCCTCATGCATGCATTTATGAAATTTGTAGTCTATTTAGAAGTAGCTATAATCTTTTCAGAACCTCAAATTACACACATGGAGCTATGATACAGTAAATTCAAGTTAGGATTGATTGATTGGTATTTAACACCACTTTCAACAAAATTGGCTATTAAGTCGCAGTCTGTTTTTGAATTGTGAAGGAAGCCAGAGTGCCTGGAGAGACTTTCAGACATGCTGCAGGAAAGCTGACGATTATCCTAATCAATTACAATTGGAGTAAAAGGAATCTGACACATGCAGGATTCAGGATTCAAACTCACAACCTCAGTGTTGACAGGTTAGTGATACAGAAGATGGACTACTGAGACCACTCGGCCACTGAGGCCCCCAAGTTAGGATTTAAAGAAAAGACTTGCTGAACATGGCCACTTTCATGAAATAAATTCAAGGGAAATTGACCCTACCTCTTTGATTTTAAAGTCAAATCAACCATTCATACGAGTATGCATGCATATTATGCACAATAAAGTCTAATTCAAAAATATTTTCTAATACAATCAAGTGTTTTAGGCTAGGCAAATAAGCACTTTATTCAAATTTCAGAAGTACAGCAAACTGAGCTTAGCACTGACTTTTCAATATTGCAAATCATCAATAGACATTTCTACATGCTTGTTTATATATAAAAAAGAAGATGTGGTATGATTGCCAATGAGACAACTCTCTACAAGAGACCAAATGACACAGAAATTAACAACTATAGGTCACCGTACGGCCTTCAACAATGAGCAAAGCCCATACCGCACAGTCAGCTATAAAAGGCCCCAAATTGACAATGTAAAACAATTCAAACGAGAAAACTAATGGCCTAATTTATGTACAAAAAATGAACGAAAAACAAATATGTAACACATAAACAAACGACAACCACTGAATTACAGGCTCCTGACTTGGGACAGTCCCATACATAAAGAATGTGGCAGGGTTAAACATGTTAGAGGGATCCCAACCCTCCCCTAACCTGGGATAGTGGTGTAACAGTACAACATAAGAACGAACTATAACTAGAGGCTCTCAAGAGCCTGTGTCGCTCACCTCTATTTACTGATGCTTTGGAAATCATGTAAAATAAGGTTAAAATCATAATTAATAGTATTAGATATTAGATATTATAATGATATCTAAGATAATAACAAAAAACTGCAAAATTTCTGTAAAATTACTAACTCAGGGGCAGCAACCCAACAACGGGTTGTCGGATTCGTCTGAAAATTTCAGGGCAGATAAATCTAAATTCTGATGAACATTTTTGCCACCTGTCAGATTTGCTCTAAATGCTTTAGTTTCAGAGATATAAACCAAAAACTGTATTTTAGCCCTATTTTCTATTTTTAACCATGTCAACCATGATGGTTGGAAGGCGGGGTCATCGGACAAATTTTTTAAACTGGATACCCTTATAATAATTATGGCCAAGTATGGTTAAATTTGTTTCAGCAGTTTCAGAGAAGAAGATTTTTGTAAAAGATTACAAAAATTTACAAAAAATTGTTTAAAATTGACTATAAAGGGCAATAACTCCTAAAGGGGTCAACTGACAATTTTGATCATGACAACTTATTTGTAGATCTTACTTTGCTGAACATTAATGCTGTTTACAGTTTATCTTTATCTATAATAATATTCAAGACAATAACCAAAAACTGCAAAATTTCCTTAAAATTACCAATTCAGGGGCAGCAACCCAACAACGGGTTGTCAGATTTGTCTGACAATTTCAGGGCAGATAGATCTTGACCTGATAATCAGTTTTACCCTATGTCAGATTTACTCTAAATGCTTTGGTTTCAGAGATATAAGCCAAAATCTACATTTTACCCCTATGTTCTACTTTTAGCCATGGCGACCATCTTGGTTGGTTGGCAGAGTTATCGGACACATTTTTTAAACTAGATACCCTAATGATGATTGTGGCCAAGTTTGGTTAAATTTGGCCCAGTGGTTTCAGAGGAGAAGATTTTTGTAAAACCTAACGACGACGACAGACGCCAAGTGATGAGAAAAGCTCACTTGGCCCTTTGGGCCAGGTGAGCTAAAAATCAGTTGAAAGAGGCTTAACTCATCAGATGGATAAAAATACAAATACTACAAATACAAGTGGACGTGGCCAGGTTCTTGTACATCCAAACAACAAAAAGACACTATAAAGTACAGATCTGAGAGTACTCGCAGTTACTGACAGCTAGTTCAAAGCCACTAACAACTAATAAAAAAAATCACACATCTAAGACTAAATTATCAATTTGTACACATCCAACATCCAATGGATTTAGTGTAAAGACGTCATAAACAGTCAGAGAAAAACACGACCTTGTGCAATGCCAAGATACAGGTATCGACAGATATTGTAGATCCATGAATGTGTATATGTATATAACAATAATATTTAGTTTGCTTTTAATTTACTGATAACAAAATCAATATTAGTACCAATAAAAACAATATTTAATGATCTAATTACAGTGTTGAATTGGTAACATTTTAGAATAAGTTTATTTAAAGGATCGATAAGTTTACCAGGATCGTTTCAAAATTTCTGGGCACGGTAAACAATATTGCCGTAAAAATGAGGATGTGCAATCCCGTTTGAAATAAGTTTTCTACAGGTACAACTAAACTTCAAAACCAAATCTTTATATCTGTGGAAGAATTTAGTAAAGGTTTTAAGTAATTTGTGGTAACGAAATCCCTGGCTTAATAATTTACCAGTAATACATAGATTACGTTGACTACCAACTGACTTTTACACAAGGCCACCAATGGGTCTTCAATGCAGTGAGAAAATCCTGCATCCAGAGGTGGGCTTCAACTGCCCCCCTATACAACAATGTAACTTTATAGAAAATATCACAAGTAGTTCCTATCAAACTGACTTAAGCAGAAAACTTAATAATTATTTCAAAATCACTGGACCATAACATACATGACCTAGGGGGCAGCTAGGGGCTCGAAAAATTGTCAAACTGATATGTACCGACAGTAATTAATGCAACTTGATACAAAATATCATTAATCTATCACATGTATATATAGTTCCTATCCAACTAACTTAAGCAGAAAACTTAACAATACAAATAGCTAATTAATTCAAAGTCACTGGACCATGACCTAAGGGGTAGAGCCTTAAAAAGTTCTCAAACTGATATGCACTGATAATATGCAACTTTCTATGTCTCATGAGTCTTAGAAATACACAATTAAAACACAGTATCAATCACAACATATACTGTGTAAATTTTGTTGCACACATATATTCCTGACTTGCACATCCTAATGCCAATCCAGATATTTGCCATTAGTTTACATACAATTTCAAGGTATACAAGATTGTACCAACTATAAAATATTATGGAGAACTATAAGGACAAGCAATCTTTTCATTAGAATTGATAGCAACAGTATAATTGATATAGGAATTCTGTGCACATCTTTAACAGATTGAATATCTGCTTATGTTGGCGTCTGACTTCTAACAAATGAAAACAAATTTAATATATCTAGCTATGACAATGCTTACTATTTTTAGATATGAATTTTAAGAGCTTAAATGTCAAGAATAAATCTCCCTCTTTTTAAAAAACTAGCGGTTGGTAGTTTAATTTTATTACAATTACGTATTTAGATGGGTCATTTTCAAAAAATGTCGAATATTCAGTACACCCATGCTAAATTTTTTATTTCTAATGGAAAATGCAGTTGTGTTTAAATGAAAGTTTGTAGGATTTATGAGTCAGACCATTGATAATAAACACGATTTAGATCTATTTTGATAATATTAAAATATATTTAAGTCCAATTTTTGCATAATTTATGTCCGTAGTCAGTGTCAGAGTAACACATTTCAAATGATTTTTTTCCTATTTTCTGATCGCCTTGATATCTGCAAAAGAGACTTTTTTAGAAGTTTAATAATAACTCTAACGAAAAATCGAAGCTTCTTTATTATCATATGTAACTTTTTTTCTAAAAATTAAATTCAATCAGCGTACAAGAAGTTCATGTCCATCCTGTTACCGCTACTTAAATCAGCCGTTAAATTGTTCTCCCTATGAATATTGAACTAGTCACTGTTGATTTCAAAAGCGCAAAGTAACATAAATATTTAACACAGCACGTTTCTTGTATAACAGTATAGAGAAAAGAAATTTCAAGACATTTAGTGAAAAAAAATAGTGGGTACTTTTTTGTCATGTCTATGCTGTTACCAACATATTGATTAATTACACCAATATTATACTTGTAAAAAGTGCAATAATGTGTTGGAAACCAAAATCACAACAGAAAAACATTATCACTTTATCAAAGGCCTGTGAGGGGTTATTTCACAACAGCATTCAAAAATGAAAAAAATTGTCTATCCTGTTACTATGGTTGCTATGGTTACAGTAACAGGATAGACAATAGTAGACAGAAACATCTTTAAAATGTTTATAATAACATATAGTTGCACCCATAATGAAATGTTTCGTTGTTTGAACTCATCTAAAGGTTATAACATCTTAATAATTTAGCATTTGCAATTTATAGAACAACATACAATCTTTGCAGTTTAGCATTTGCAGGTGCAATACTGCTATCGGTAACAAGATAGACAAAAAAGTAACAGGATAGAACTTAATATAGTGATATATCATAAACGTACGTTCCTGTTACCAATAAAATAAAGACAAAAGTAACCCAACATGCGAGGGATTTACTTGATGTTGGGTTTATTTGAAAGAGAGAAAAAATGACGAACAAATGAATTGCTATCTTAGACTTGCATTACTGGTGATTATTATTAAAACCTATCAAAACCAATTTTTAGAGGCATTTTTCATTACAACAGGGAAAATTGGCAAATAATCTATTATTTTACAGAATGAATATGTATATAAAAGTTTTTATTATTGAAAACCGTCTTATTGGCTATGAAAAACAAGCTTAAAATTTTATCGAAACCTTTTCTAAATAACCCGAAATTTCTTTTGAACATGGTAACAGGAGAGACAAAATTTTGCTCCACCTATCAAAAAATGTTTCAATATATTCTTGTGTACTGTTTGTTTTTTATTTTCTTATGACGAGGGTTGTTTGAATCAGTAACTTTAAATCAATTTTGCAATTTCAAAATTCAACATTTTTTGAAAATGACCCAGATTTACCAATTATCCCCAAAATAGATATCTGGGTCATTTTCAAAAAATGTTGAATTTTGAATTTCAAAATTCAACATTTTTTAAAATTTACCCAGATATCTATTTTGGGGATATTTGGTAAATTTTGTAACTGTTTATTTTAATTGCAACCATAATTAAACATACTTTGTATTGTTATACATTTGTACTACTATTCTATTCATATGATAATTTTTGGAACTATCTTACATTTTCTGGAACTATCTGAGTATGAATACATTTACTGGAACTATTTTTGTGCATAAATACATAGTCAAGTCTAACTAAGCTCAGTCACACTGAGAACCAGGAACCAAACCGTGTGAGTCATTTTTAAAAAATGTTGAATTTTTGAAAATCTGGGTCATTTTCAGAAAATGAAATAAGAAAATCAAAACAAACAGTACTTATAGAACAACATATAAGAAGATGCAATCTTGATTATGTCATGTGGAATTTTTTATCAATAAAAATTGAGTATTAATACACAGTATAGCGAAATGCAATTCATCCTTGTGATTGCATTGCCTCAGTATCAACAACATATTAAGTTACTTCATATCAGGATATGGTCATTTATGGAAATGAGTTTATCCTTAGCTTGGTATGACATTGTAAACTTTTAACCAATGAGAAGATTGAGTTTTCCTAGTTGCTACTGTTGAAATCTCTTTCCCTAATTGTGTAGTGAGATTTAGTTAGAGAACCAATCAGAATAGGGCGCTCATTTCAAAATGTCCAATCAGATAGTTGCTAAGCGTGTATTAGGATGCACAGTTCATAGCAAGTTGCCTTTAACGCCGAAGATTTTAAATGAAATATTCACTTTGTTGTCATTAAGCAGTAGTAAGGACTTGTGCTTTTGGGCAGCCTGCTTAGTTGCCTTCTTTTCCTTTTGAAGAAAGTCAAATCTATTTGCTCTGTCTCTTTCAGCTTTTGATCCTTTGCGACAGTTATAAATCTCGAGAAGATATCACTTTTCATGCAGAGGGCGTCCAATTAAGAGTAGGGAAACCAAAACCATACAATTTTCAGAGCGTGTGTTAGAAATCCCACTTCCAAGAGTGAACAACTCTCATTTATGTCCCTCTAAGGCTCTCCTTCTTAATTTCAAGCAGGTACCAGCCATAAGCTCCCCATCACCAGTTTTCTTGTACTTAGTGCAGGGCAAGGTAACACCTCTTACCTATGCCACCTTTGTAAAAATGCTAAAACATTACTTATCATTGTTAAATTATGACAGCACCAAATATATTCGGGACATAGTTTTCGTAGAGGGGGAGCCTCCTTTGCCTTAGAATGTGGGATACCAGCTGATCATATTCAGTCTCAGGTTAATTGGAAATCAGATGCATATAAGTTATACTTGGATCCTTCCTTTGCTCATCGACAGAAATTCATGAATAAATTTGCTGCAGCCCTTGGGAAATGATGAACTATACTTAACTACCCCTACTGGTTCCTGTGACTTTACATGTTTGGGAAGTTTGGAATACCACAGATTGTTCATTAATTAATTTGTGTATTGTTTGAAAACTGTACTGTTGTTTGTGTTTTTATTAATATGAAAAACTTAGGCATTAAACTGTGGTTCTTTTCCCAAACATGTGTTTGTTTTACTAGTACCCAACTGGATTCACTGGTTTCTAGACTGCATTCCAAGCAGAGTAGGTCAGATGCTATTCTGCATCCGTTCTGAATCTGGTCTAGATTCCAACACATTACACTGTCAGTTTAAGGGGATTTTATTTTGATTGGTTCTCTAACTAAATCTCACTACACAATTAGGGAACGAGATTTCAACAGCAGCAACTTAAGGAAAACCCAATCTTCTCATTGTTTAAAAGTTTACAATGTCATACCAAGCTAAGGATAAACTCATTTTCATAAATGACCGTATCCTGATATGAAGTAACTTAATATGTTGTTGATAGAGGCAATGCAATCACAAGGATGAATTGCATTTCACTATACTGTGTATTAATACTCAATTTTTTTTGATATAAAAATACCACATTAATCTACAGCATTCAGAAATAACCCCCCTCTGAACACACACACTCTGAAAATTGTATGGTTTTGGTTTTCCCTACTCTTAATTGGACGCCCTCTGCATGAAAAGTGATATCTTATCGAGGTAACTGTCGCAAAGGATCAAAAGCTGAAAAAGACGGAGCAAATAGATTTGACTTTCTTCAAAAGGAAAAGAAGGCAACTAAGCAGGCTGCCCAAAAGCACAAGTCCTTACTACTGCTTAATGACAACAAAGTGAATATTTCATTTAAAATCTTCGGCGTTAAAGGCAATTAACTTGCTATGAACTGTGCATCCTAATACACGCTTAGCAACTATCTGATTGGACATTTTGAAATGAGCGCCATATTTTGATTGGTTCTCTAACTAAATCTCACTACACAATTAGGGAACGAGATTTCAACAGCAGCAACTAGGAAAACTCAATCTTCTCATTGGTTAAAAGTTTACAATGTCATACCAAGCTTAAAGGATAAACTCATTTTCATAAATGACCGTATCCTGATATGAAGTAACTTAATATGTTGTTGATAGAGGCAATGCAATCACAAGGATGAATTGCATTTCACTATACTGTGTATTAATACTCAATTTTTATTGATATAAAAATACCACAAGACATAATCAAGATTGCATCTTTTTATATGTTGTTCTATAAGTACTGTTAGTTTTGATTTTCTTATGACGAGGGTTGTTTGAATCAGTAACTTTAAATCAATTTTGCAATTTCAAAATTCCGACATTTTTTGAAAATGACCCAGATTTACCAATTATCCCCAAAATAGATATCTGGGTCATTTTCAAAAAATGTTGAATTTTGAATTTCAAAATTCTCAACATTTTTTAAAATTTACCCAGATATCTTTTTTGGGGATATTTGGTAAATTTTGTAACTGTTTATTTTAATTGCAACCATAATTAAACATACTTTGTATTGTTATACATTTGTACTACTATTCTATTCATATGATAATTTTTGGAACTATCTTACATTTTCTGGAACTATCTGAGTATGAATACATTTACTGGAACTATTTTTGTGCATAAATACATTATTATGAGTCAAGTCTAACTAAGCTCAGTCACACTGAGAACGAGGAACCAAACCGTGTGTGATCTGGTATTACATTTTGTAACAAAGACAAAGCACATCGTACACATTTTAACTTTTAGATCAGGAAAAAGATAAAGAACAAATTTATTCATCAGACTATAACAAGAATTAAAGGTATGGATTGTTAATGTTTAAATTGAGGGGGGTAGGACCTTTATCGGAACTCCGGGATCGGGTGTTTTTAAGCTCGGGATTTCGGGATTGATCCTTTCGGGATCCGGGAATTCTTTTTTCGAATTTCGGGATGTCAGGATTTCAATTTTTTTAAATTCGGGACCTACTCCTGGGATTCCAGGTTTTTAAGCCCAGGATTTCAGGATCAGGACCCCTGTGTCGCTCACCTGTTATTTTTATTTACAATTGATGCATGAAATAATGCAACCGTTATACATTTGCTTTAGTTTCAGAGATATAAGTCAAAAACTGCATTTTCCCCCTAAGTTCTATTTTTAGCCATGTCTGACATGTTGGTTGGCAGGCAGGGTCATCGGACACATTTTTTAAACTAGATACCCTAGTGACGATTGTGGCCAAGTTTGGTTGAATTTGTCTCAGTTGTTTCAGGAGAGAAGATTTTTGTAAAAGATTACAAAAATTTACGAATAATTGTTAAATTTGACTTTAAAGGGCAATAACTCCTTAAGGGGTCAATTGACCATTTTGGTCATGTTGACTTATTTGTAGATCTTACTTTGCTGTACATTATTGCTGTTTACAGTTTATCTCTATCTATAATAATATTCAAGATAATAACCAAAAGCTGCAAAATTTTCTTAAAATTACCAATTCAGGGGCAGCAACCCAGCAACGTGTTGCCTGATTGGTCTGAAAATTTCAGGGCAGATAGATCTTGACCTAATGAACAATTTTATCCCGTCAGATTTGCTCTAAATGCTTTGGTTTCAGAGATATGAGCCAAAAACTGCATTTTACCCTATGTACTATTTTTTAGCCATGTCGGCCATCTTGGTTCACGGTCGGGGTCATCGGACACATTTTTTAAACTAGATACCCTAATGATGATTGTGGACAAGTTTGGTTAAATTTGTCTTAAAAGTTTCAGAGAAGATTTTTGTAAAAGATTACAAAAATTTACGAAAAATGGTTAAAAATTGACTATAAAGGGCAATAACTCCTTAAGGGGTCAACTGACCATTTTGGTCAAGTTGACTTGTTTGTAGATCTTACTTTGCTGAACTATATTGCTGTTTAGTTTATCTCTATCTATAATAATATTCACGATAATAACCAAAAACGGCAAAATTTCCTTAAAATTACCAATTCAGGGGCAGCAACCCAACAACGGGTTGTCCAATTCATCTGAAAATTTCAGGGCAGATAGATCTTGACCTGATAAACCATTTTACCCCAGTCAGATTTGCTCTAAATGCTTTGGTTTCAGAGATATAAGCCAAAATCTACATTTTACCCCTATGTTCTATTTTTAGCCATGGCGGCCATCTTGGTTAGTTGGCCGGGTCACTGGATACATTTTTTAAACTAGATACCCAAATGATGATTGTGGCCAAGTTTGGTTAAATTTGGCCAAGTAGTTTCAGAGGAGAAGATTTTTGTAAAAGTTAACGAACGACGGACGCCAAGTGATGAGAAAAGCTCACTTGGCCCTTTGGGCCAGGTGAGCTAAAAAGAACTTTGTCTGTCAATATGATTCAACCGTGAAGTTCCTTAATAGTACTGTGCAGATCTATAACATTGTTTGGCTAATTTTGAGACAAATTATATACATATAAAATTGAGAATGGAAATGGGGAATATGTCAACGAGACAACAACCCAACCAAAGAGCAGACAACAGCCGAAGGCCACCAATGGGTCTTCAATGCAGCGAGAAAATCCCTCACCCGGAGGTGGTCCTCAGCTGGCCCCTAACTAATATTGTGTGCTAGTTCAGTGAAAATGGACGTCACACTAAACTCCAAAACATATAAATGAACTAAAATAAAAAAAAATATTAGACTAACAAAGGCCAGAGGCTCCTGACTTGGGACAGGCGCTAAAATGCGGCGGGGTTAAACTACATAGACCCATATCAAGACCAGTTTTTATCTAAGAGGCAATGTGAAACTGGGCATCCAAGATAATAAGACCCCCAGGCATGTCAATTCGTCAAAAAGTAAATGTGTATGTTTTCTGAAATGCTAAATGCATCCCACAAATGAGTGAAGCAAAGGGGGTCTGGAAATATCTTAATGTGTACATTTTTTTTTTTCATAAAGGTGAAATTTAAGATGCTATATCATTATATACATGTATATTGAAGATGTTCTTTCTATTAACAATTTAAACTTTTGTGATTGGGTCCCACTAAAAGTCATGAGCTAAAGATTACAGACACCACAAATACTGGTGCATTACGTTTCCACACATTACCATTACATTTGCGCGCAAAAATCATTACGTTTGCGTGCAGCTTTTGATTACATTTGCGCACATTTATTTGACAGGTAAACTCAGGTAAATACAGGTAATAATACTTATCTATTTATTAATTTATTCAATTATTTACAAGTGCATTAGTACCCCTTGTTTCCATATGTATGTGCCTTAAATAGGCTATTATTTCAACTTGGAATTATTTTTAATTATGGAATTTGCATAATTTCTTGTGCTTGAAATTTTTAATAAATTCCATGTTTATTCTGTACTTTAATGTTCTGTGCTGTGCACAACACTTTCTATTACATAGAAGATAGTACATTTTCAATAGAATGTACTGTGCCGCGACACTATCTATACAAAATACATTTTATGGAAAGTGTTATGAACCGCTCAAAACATTATAATACCAAAAAAACATGGAATTTATTAAAAATTTCAAGCACAAGAAATTATGCAAATTCCATAATTAAAAATAATTCCAAGTTCAAATAATAGCCTGTTCTTAGTGCATTGTCCCAACTTTACAAACTAATTTAAAAGCATCACTATTCGGTGAAACACTATTCACTCTGAAATATTCGCAATGAAGTTGCAAGTATATTTTTATAACGGGATTTATCATGATCACTTTATATTTTGTCTTAGAATTCAATATGAATAATATATAATTTGAATTAAAAAATATTTTCAAAATAAATAATTTTTAGTCATATTTCTTATGAAAATTAACAAATTAGAGTCATATTTATATTTTTATATCATTTTTATTCATATTACCTTTATTTTTACCTGAGTTTACCTGTAAAATATATGCACACAAATGTAATCAAAAGCCGCAATGCACACAAACTTAAATGCTGCCACATATACAGATTCTTGATTTGATTGTCTATTTTGGTTATGTTAACTTATTTATTTGAATCTACTGTAGCTCTATCAGATTTTCTATAATTGTTATATATCAGCAGTGCACTCCTAATGGATTATTTATGTTTAAAATGTACTATTGAATAATACCAGATAATTACATAAAGAATATTTCATTAGAATAAAAATATTGTTGATCAGTTAAAACTCATAAGGGGTTCTGTGAAACCCTGTGACTCATCTGAGACTGCTGAAGTCAGTTTTTAAAAGTATAATCTTGACTTAAAAAGTGAGTCCATTTATTAGTATAATACAGAATTTAAAATTTTCCTTTTGATGCTATTTCTTGGTCTTGAAGATAAGCTTCTATTCAAGTTTCATAACAATCCATGAAGGTTTACAAATTTATCATGTGAAAAAAATTTAATTCCAGACTCTCTGTAAATGTTAACTGTAAAAAACTACTAAGTCCATCTCTTTGAAAAATACTGAAAATGAAAAGTTTCTTCAGACATTATCTCTTAATCATAAAAATGCCAAAAATTTCATTAAATGTTATGAAGGTTTGACAAAGTAAGTGATGTGTAACAACTTTAACCCCAGACTGTTATCTACTTGTTAACTGTAAAGAAAATACTAATTCCATCTATCAGTAAAATATGGGAAAATGAAAAGAACTGTTTTCAAAATTTGGCTCTGGATACTGTATTTTGGTATTATCAAACTTATATCCAAATTTCATAAAATTCCATGAAGGATTGACAAATTTATTGTAATGTCTTAAAAACTTTAACCTTAGAGTCTCAGCCTGAATTTTAACTGTAAAAAAAAGTCCATTTATCAGTATAGTAAAATATGGAAAAAAGAAATTAAGTATTTTCAAAATTTTGATCTGGTCTTTTGGTCATAATAATAAGCTTCTGACCAAATTTCATAAAATTATTCCATGAAGGTTCGAGAAACTTATATATATTGATGTTTAAAACTAGTTATGGATGATGCCCCCTCTGCTCTGCCATAATGCATGAATATAGTTCCACATACTTTAGATTTGGCAAACAGTGATGACCATAAGAAATTATAAATTTTAACACTATGTATGATGATCTATCTTATTTTGTCCAGCCAAAAGGTTTCAACTTTCCAGTTTTCGCAGTACCAATTAATTAAGTACAAATTTCTATTTCCAGTTAACTCGGGTCACATTTAAGTTCAACTTCCCAGTATTGATTAAATATTGGATAACACTAAAAGTTCTTATTTATTGCATTTATAAGGAATAACTAGAAATGATTGTAACAGGATGCTGTTACGAAGTCTCCCAAACGAAGCTCCCATAATTCGTAATTCCCAGGGTCGCCTGACATTGGGCAACGTCCAGTGAAAATTGGTTTGGTCCAGTAAAGTTATATGCATTAGTGATGCCTGGGGACTAACCTTGTATATCATTCAAATCATCTTGGCATGACAAACCAGAATATATATGGTTTAGGGGTGGGGATCTCGACCATTTACAAGATACTAGAACATTGGGGGTGGGGAGGAACCCCTGGGGACTGACCCTATACGTCATTCAAATGTTCATTACATGACGAACAGGAATATATATGGTTTAGGGGTGGGGATCTCAACCATTTACAAGATATTAGAACATTGGGGGTGGGGGGAACCCCTGGGGACTGACCGTATATGTCATTCAAATGTTCGGCGAGACATGACAAATAGGAATATATATGGTTTAGGGGTTGGGATCTCAACCATGTACAAGATATTAGAACTTTCTTAAATGGCAGGGGGTGGAGGTGACCCCTGGGGACTAACCCTGTATATCATTCAAACCATCTTAGCATGACAAACCAGAATATATATGGTTTAGGGGTGGGGATCACGACCATTTACAAGATATTAGAACTTTCTCAAATGGCAGGGGGTCGGGATGACCCCTGGGGACTAACCCTGTATATCATTCAAACCATCTTAGCATGACAAACCAGAATATATATGGTTTAGGGGTGGGGATCTTGAACTCTTACAAGATATTAGAACTTTCTTAAATGGCAGGGGGTGGGGGTGACCCCTGGGGACTAACCCTGTATATCATTCAAACCATCTTAGCATGACAAACCAGAATATATATGGTTTAGGGGTGGGGATCTTGACCACTTAGAAGATATTTGAACTTTCTTAAATGGCAGGGGTGGGGTGACCCCTGGGGACTAACCCTGTATTTCATTTGATGTGCTTTATCATGACAAACCAGAACATATATGGTTTAGGGGTGGGGATCTCGACCATTTACAAGATATAAGAACTTTCTCAAATGGCAGGGGATCGGGATGACCCCTGGGGACTAACCCTGTATATCATTCAAATCATCTAAGCATGACAAACCAGAATATATATGGTTTAGGGGTGGGGATCTTGACCACTTACAAGATATTAGAACTTTCTTAAATGGCAGGGGGTGGGGGTGACCCCTGGGGACTAACCCTGTATTTCATTTGATGTGCTTTATCATGACAAACCAGAACATATATGGTTTAGGGGTGGGGATCTCGACCATTTACAAGATATTAGAACTTTCTCAAATGGCAGGTGGTCGGGATGACCCCTGGGGACTAACCCTGTATATTATTCAAACCATCTTAGCATGACAAACCAGAATATATATGGTTTAGGGGTGGGGATCTTGACCACTTAGAAGATATTAGAACTTTCTTAAATGGCAGGGGGTGGGGGTGACCCCTGGGGACTAACCCTGTATTTCATTTGATGTGCTTTATCATGACAAACCAGAACATATATGGTTTAGGGGTGGGGATCTCGACCATTTACAAGATATTAGAACTTTCTCAAATGGCAGGTGGTCGGGATGACCCCTGGGGACTAACCCTGTATATCATTCAAACCATCTTAGCATGACAAACCAGAATATATATGGTTTAGGGGTGGGGATCTCGACCATTTACAAGATATTTGAACTTTCTCAAATGGCAGGGGGTTGGGATGACCCCTGGGGACTAACCCTGTATATCATTCAAACCATCTTAGCATAACAAACCAAAATATATATGGTTTAGGGGTGGGGATCTTGACCACTTACAAGGTATTAGAACTTTCTTAAATGGCAGGGGGTGGGGGTGGCCCCTGGGGACTAACCCTGTATTTCACTTAATGGGCTTTATCGTTTAGAACATTTTCAATTAAAAAGATTGTGTCTATCACAAACGGTTTTCAATTTATAATCATTTGAAAATTTAAAAAAATAAAATCCCATAGGGTTCTATAGTAAAACCCTCTTTTCTTTTTGCCCCTCAAAGTACCCCTTTATAAACCCCATTGCACAAACAAAACCCTGATTGCACCACTAGACATGTTAGTCTAACATATTGTGAAACCCTAAGTTAATCTGACAAGCGGTTTTGGAGAACGGGTGCGGACAAGTTCAAATTTAAAAGCGGCGGAAGAGGAAGAAGCAGAAGAAGAAGAAGAAGAAGAAGAAGAAGAAGAAGAAGAATAATAATAATAATAATAAGAACTGAGCAAAAACAATAAGTCTTCCCAAACTTCGTTTGGGAGACTTAATAACTGTATTAGTAGTACAAACCATGTCTTAAATTCTATAGTAATTGAGAAGGAAATGGAGTCCAACTACAAGTTTTTGTGAATATCTAACATCCCCCTTTCTGACTTATAGTACCAAAAAAAAATCCAAATACCTAGCATTTTAAGAATATTTGTAAAAAATCAAAATCCTGTGTGGACATACACACTTCCATTATGTGTACAAACAACCTACAAGATAGTAAAGTTGTAGCTCAAAAACTAAAGGAGAAGATAGCCGGACAAACCATGATCTCTTTATTTAGCTAGTACCAAAAAAGACCAAGTCAAAATACCTGGCATTTTGAGAATATTTGAAAAAAAAATCAAAATCCTGTGGATGTGCAAACCTCTATTTAGTGTACAAACATTCTACAAAATATTACAGCTACAGCTCAAAAACTGTAATAGGGAATAGCTGGACAAACCATGTATCTATATCTAAACAGGGGAATGGACAGATGGACAGACAGGCAATGGTAACACTTAATGCCCACTCCGCTATGATGGGAGCATAAAAAAATAAAGTTAAAACATATCATCACTCCTTTATATTTACAGATGAGTGATAGCGTGAAGCATAGAAATTTTTTGGACTTTGCTTTGCAAATCCAAAATGTTAACGTTGTTCCAGGTATTGGTCCTACTTATGCTGCCAACCTGGCAACTAATGGTTATACCCAGGTATGTAAGATTTTATGTTAAATAAATTCTGAAATTACAATATTTTTTTGCCAAATAATTAACCAGCAAAAGCTGTGAGAGAGACACAAAACCAGATTTTCCTGCAGAGATCAAACCCTGAACAGTTAAGCAAGTATGGGCACTACATTTAAGCTTAAAACAGCTCTGAATTTGGATTGTGATTGAATATTTAAAATAGATTATTATCTAATTAGTAATGAAAATGATATTTGAAAATCTGGGACCTAAACAGGATAAATAAAAATTTAACATTAATTAACACACACACAACCAACATAAAATACCACAAAACAACTGTGACATCTACCTTCATAACACACCTGACTTAAAAAAAAATTATAAAGAAACTCCTGACTAGTTGATTTAACAGATACAATCATTGATAGACTATCTATACATAAACTTATATATTTCTGTTCAAAGGGAAATAACTCAATTGCATAATAAGTATCACTTCTGGCTTCTAAAAGGGTCTACAACTCAATGACAAGAAAAGCTGAAGTAGTGAAAATTGTACTTGACTTTCGTTTAGTCACAGGAAACCACATATCTAAATTTGAAAAAATTTCATCAAAGCATTTTCATGTTAATGAATGGACACTGTTTGGCAGCAGCACCCCGGCGTACATCCCCAAATCAATAACCGATTTTTACTTCGATAATCCCATTAGAAACAAAAATGACAGACATGAACCAACGACAACCACTGCTGCTGAACTACATGCTCATGACTTGAGACGGACACATGAAGAATGTGGCAGGGTTAAACATGTTTGTGAGGGCTTAACCCTCCCCCCTGGGATGGTGGTATTACATCACAAAATGAGAACAAACTATTAAAATCAGTTGAAAGCATAGTTATCAGTTTTGTTGATTATGCATTCAAGTAAAGGATCGTCCATATTAAGTTGCCATAAATCTTAATAAAATTGAGAATGGAAATGGGGAATGTGTCAAAGAGACAACAACCCGACCATAGAGCAGACAACAGCCGAAGGCCACCAATGGGTCTTCAATGCAGCAAGAAACTCCCGCACCGAGAGGCGTCCTTCAGCTGGCCCCTAAACAAATATGTATACTAGTTCAGTGATAATGGACGTCATACTAAACTCCAAATTATACACAAGAAACTAAAATTAAAATTGATACAAGACTAACAAAGGCCAGAGGCTCCTGACTTGGGACAGGCGCAAAAATGCGGCGGGGTTAAACATGTTTTTTGAGATCTCAACCCTCCCCCTATACCTCTAGCCAATGTAGAAAAAACAAACGTACAATCTTCTTTTCAGCACCCGTGACACGACTTGGCCCAGTATTGCCACGAGGGGTAAATATATGAGGTAGATCCCATTCAAAAATATTAAACTCATTGTGCCATCCATGACCACCATCTCCTCTCTCACCAATATTCACCTCCTGCTCCCCTTTAATGCTTCATCCTCATTATTTGACTCATTATAGTCCCCCTCACTGTCATCTATCCCTTGTCCTTTCAGAACAGTTATTAATCTTCCTAGGCAGCTAAGACCTCTTGTTCAGCATTAATTACATCAGTTTCACCGAAACCTTCAAAATTAGACATCAGATTCATCTGACAACATTTTTCCACTGCAATACTAGCAGTCGAATTTCACTTCCTAAACAACTTTCAATTTTGTGCATAATTTCCTCCCGTTCATTCCCACTCCTAAACTGGAATCCACTTGTATTACGCTACACTCAAACAAAGTGTACAGTGTAACCTGCCTAATCAGACACCTGAGTATTCCAACATCCTGCTTTAACCGACACATTTTCATGGTCCCAAAATATGCCTCATTATCATTGCAGAAAAAACCTGAGTATTTCGACATTTTTTTCTGGTCCCCCAGTGTGTCGGATAACACAGGTTACACTGTAGTAGTCAGCCGAGAACCATCTTATCCCAGCATGTACTGTTGGAATGCCAGTCATATTATTATGATATTGGAGAACATTTTTATTACTGTTTAAATTTGGATTGTGATCAAACTTTTGACATAATATAGGTTTCTGACACAAAATAAATGAACAAAGATCTTAAAAATTTGAAATGGGACATTTAATTTACCTAGTTTGGTCTGATATCCAAAATTTAACAACATGGTTAAATTCAGCATGTAACAATTAACTATGTTTATGCATAAGTAAAAATAAAGTAAAAAAAAATTATTGTAAGTTTATCACTCCTGATATTTTTAGCTTTAAAAACTGTAGTATTTATAAACAAACTGTTAATTTCAATTCAGGCCAGTCAGCTGTATATGCTGTTGATATTTTGTAACGGAAATCAAGAACAGTTTGTAACCAGGCTTCAAGAATTGACTGGAGGAGGATCGCGAAACAATATGATCCTGGCATACAACGCATTAATGGAATGGCACAGACAGCGTGGTAGCATATCTATTTAATAGATAAACATTTTATCTGAGTAAGTCAACTGTTTTAATTTTCTATGTTTATTTTGCTTATACAATAAACTGTCATATTTAGATTATTCAACACTGGGGAGGTTAATCTACAACACAAACATGTGTGAATAGCATCTAACCACATGGTTAATAAACTTTATTTAAAAAAAAGATTACAATGGCTCAAATATAATATGAATTATTGCCAAAAAAAGGGGGAAAATTTCCAACTTTGACAAAAACTCTTTTTATGCCCCCACCGTAGCGGAGGGGGTATTAAGTTTTTACGAACGTACGTCCCAAAATTGGTTTCCGTTCTCTAACTTGAGTTCGCCTCAACCAAATGTTATATAACTTATACACAATGCTAATTACCACAAAACACAGATCAAGTTTGAATTTTGGTGGCATCACTTTAATCGTTCTAGAGTTATGCCCCTTTATAAATGGAAAAATTGCAAAATTTTTAGTTTCCGTTCTCTAACTTAAGTTTGCCTCTACCAAATGTTATGAAACTTATACACAATGCTAATTACCACAAAACACAGATCAAGTTTGAATTTTGGTGGCGTCACTTAAACCGTTCTAGTTTTTAATGCAAACAAAATGTATGTTCTTTTTTTTTTTTTTTTTAATATTTATATTTTGATATAAATTTGATAAATGGTTAATAAAAGTTTAAGTTGTCTTCAGCAAAATATCATTTTCTCAAGTACCACTTAAGAAATTCTACGACTCTAGTTGTTTCAATGTTTCTGTTATAGTTTTTCTTCAACTTTTTGCAACACAAATATGTATATATGTATCATATTATCAACTGTTTATGTGTTACATATTTCTTCACTTAATAATGCACTGTCAACTGAAAAAACATATAAAAATTAGGTTAAAGGGATATTAACAACCTGAATAAAACTAGAGGCTCTCAAGAGCCTGTGTCGCTCACCTGATTCTGCTTTGGTTTTGGAAATCATGTAAAAATAGATTAAAATCATAACAGATACCCTAATAATGAGTGAGGCCAAATTTGGTTTAATATTGGTCCTGTAATTTAATAAAAAAATCCTGGTGGCCATCTTGAACAGTAAATCGGCAACAAAGTAGCAACACTTAATCAACACCTCATAAGAAACATTTATGCCATGTTTTGGTTTCATTCCATTCAGTGCACCTCTAGAAGAAGCATTTGTATGTATTTCCCATAGGTTCTTATGTTAAAGGATGTCCCCCCATTGGCAGCCATCATGGATGAAGGATCAGCTTCAAAGTAACAAAACTTAGTCAGCACCTCATAAGGAACATTCATGCCATGTTTGGTTTCAATCCATTCAGTATGTGGTTCTCTAAAAGAAGACATTTGTATGTATTGTCCATAGGGTCCTTTGTTAAACATTGTCCCCATCTGGCAGCCATCATGGATGAAGGATCAGCATCAAAGTAACAACAATTGGTCAGCACCTCAAAAGAAACATGCATGCCATGTTTGGTTTCATTCCATTCAATGGTTATCTAAAAGAAAACATTTGTACATATTTCTCATAGGGTCCTATGTTAAACTAAGTCCTCCGCTGGCGGCCATCTTAAATTATGGATCGGCTTCATAGTAACAACACTTGGTCAGCACCTCATAAGGAACATTCATGCCATGTTTGGTTTCATTGCATTCAGTGGTTCTCTAAAAGAAGACATTTGTATGTATTTCCCATTGGGTCCTATGTTAAACTAAGTCCCCCGCTGGCTGCCATCTTGGATGATGGATCAGCTTCAAAGTAACAACATTTGGTCAGCACCTCATAAGGAACATTCATGCCATGTTTGGTTTCATTCCATTCAGTGGTTCTTTAAAAGAAGACGTTTGTATGTATTTCCAATAGGGTCCCATGTTAAACAAAGTCCTCCGCTGGCGGCCATCTTGGATTATGGATTGGCTTCAAAGTAACAACACTTGGTCAGCACCTCATAAGGAACATTCATGCCATGTTTGGTTTCATTCCATTTAGTGGTTCTCTAAAAGAAGACATTTGTATGTATTTCTCTTAGGGTCCCATGTTAAACTAAGTCCCCCGCTGGCAGCCATCTTGGATTATGGATCAACTTCAAAGTAACAACACTCAGTCAGCACCTCATAAGAAACATTCATGCCATGTTTGGTTTCATTCCATTCAGTGGTTCTCTAAAAGAAGACATTTGTATGTATTTCCCATAGGGTCCAATGTTAAACTAAGTCCCCTGCTGGCGGCCATCTTGGATTATGGATCAGTTTCATAGTAAAAACACTTGGTCAGCACCTCATAAGGAACATTCATGCCATGTTTGGTTTCATTCCATTCAGTGGTTCTCTAAAAGAAGACATTTGTATGTATTTCCCATAGGGTCCTATGTTAAACTAAGTCCCCTGCTGGCGGCCATCTTGGATTATGGATCAGTTTCATAGTAACAACACTTGGTTAGCACCTCATAAGGAACATTCATGCCATGTTTGGTTTCATTCCATTCAGTGGTTCTCTAAAAGAAGACATTTGTATGTATTTCCCATAGGGTCCCATGTTAAACTAAGTCCCCCGCTAGCGGCCATCTTGGATTATGGATGGGCTTCAAAGTAACAACACTTGGTCAGCACCTCATAAGGAACATTCATACCATGTTTGGTTTTATTCCATTCAGTGGATCTCTTAAAGAAGACATTTGTATGTATTTCCATAGGGTCCCATGTTAAACTAAGTCCCCCGCTGGCGGCCATCTTGGATTATGGATCAGCTTCAAAGTAACAACACTCGGTCAGCACCTCATAAGGAACATTCATACCATGTTTGGTTTCATTCCATTCAGTGGTTCTCTAAAAGAAAACATTTGTATGTATTTCCCATAGGGTCCTATGTTAAACTAAATCCCCTGCTGGCGGCCATCTTGGATTATGGATCGGCTTCAAAGTAACAACACTCGGTCAACACCTCATAAGAAACATTCATGCCATGTTTGGTTCCATTCCATTCAGTGGTTCTCTAAAAGAAGACATTTGTATGTATTTCCCATAGGGTCCTCTGTTAAACTAAGTCCCCCGCTGGCGGCCATCTTGGATTATGGATCGGCTTCAAAGTAACAACACTCGGTCAGCACCTCATAAGGAACATTCATACCATGTTTGGTTTCATTCCATTCAGTGGTTCTCTAAAAGAAGACATTTGTATGTATTTCCCATAGGGTCCTATGTTAAACTAAGTCCCCCGCTGGCGGCCATCTTGGATTATGGATCGGCTTCAAAGTAACAACACTCGGTCAGCACCTCATAAGAAACATTCATGCCATGTTTGGTTTCATTCCATTCAGTGGTACTCTAAAAGAAGACATTTGTATGTATTTCCCATAGGGTCCTATGTTAAACTAAGTCCCCCGCTGGCGGCCATCTTGGATAATGGATCCGCTACAAAGTAACAACACTTGGTCAGCACCTCATAAGGAACATTCATGCCATGTTTGGTTTCATTCCATTCAGTGGTTCTCTAGAAGAAGTTCAAAATGTAAAAAGTTTACGCCGACGACGGACGACGACGGACGACGGACGCCAAGTGATGAGAAAAGCTCACTTGGCCCTTCGGGCCAGGTGAGCTAAAAATGGGAATATGATTTTTTTTTTTAGTTCAATCATTAATAAAAGTGAAATAATGAAATAATTATTCACTAACAGCAGCCAATTTGGTTCAATTTTGTCAAAATAAACAAGAAACATTGCAGACGAATTATTTACTTGCAAGTGAATAATTCGACCGATCTCGTTGAATCTGTATTGATGTGACTTTTAATTTAACCCATTAGATAGAGATTGGGTACGCATGTATTAGTTGTGTTCGACCATTAAAAAGAAAAGAGTGTCAACATTGAAAGTTAAACAAAGATGAACCATTTTATTGACTAATTAGATCTAGAAAAAAAATCATTCTTATACAGGTAAAAAACAATGATTAACTAATTCTTTTAATCTATAACATGAAATCAAACAGACCTAGAAAAGCTAAATTTAACGAGGTTGCTTTCTACTCATATTTATGTTTTGTTTGTATTGGGTTATATGACCGTCGGCAATCTTCAGAGGTCATCTCTATGATTAATTAGATGGCTGCTAGTAGGGCTAGACTAAAATACAAGCCAAATGATGATCACCAAGTACATGCATTGATAACTGTTTATTTCAGACTTATTGTTATGTGGGTATATGTTTTTTAAGTATGTTTTAAATCTAATATGAGAATTTGAGTCAAATCTGAGAACATGAATTTGACAGCTTATGCCACTTTAATGCCTGATGATTTTATTTCAGATACCAATTATTGATATATCAACAATAGAAAGATGTATGCCGAAACTGGTTACCAACCCTTGATTCAACAATGAAGACAACTTTGATAATTTCTGGAGACTTTTGGACATTTATTATAAACACTTAACCTATAGCTAATTACACTGGACTGAATATACCAGAACTTTAAATTGCTATGAACAATCTCAAGTCTGATAACTGCTTATTGATTTTTAGTTTAATTAGATTTGGATACACATTCTTTGAACTTAAGGATGTCTGCTAATTATTTTTTATTACTGTTTTTCAATATAGACATTTGGAAGCAACTAGTTTTTACCTGTTAACCCCTACTTTCTCTTTTTATAATTTTATCAATATCCATATTGATTGTTTGAACTGCATTTCTGAAAACCTTTTAACATTCTTGTTTTTTTTTTATAGTTTTTGAAAGGAAACAGGTGCCAATTAAAAATTTATGAAAAATCTAGAGAGAATCATTTCCCACCAAATTTTCAATAGCTAATATATCTCAAAAATAAGGACACTGACTGGGCGGGGTTCATGCTTTTCTGCTTTTTAAGTACCATTGTTCATGTAAATCAATTCACAACAGTCTTTTAAAAAGATTGTTATTTTGTAACAGTGTCTGTAGCAATCACCCTTGAACCAAAATGACAGTATGCAGTGAACAACTGAATACTTTGCTTTGTCAAATGTTTTTTTAATGGTTTTAAGCTATTTTTCATAACTCAATTTTAAATTTTGGCAATTAAATATTTTATAAAATAAATTAAAGTCTGCAGTTTACATGAAACTTAGCTGAAATTATATTTAAAATATTTTTGGGAACTTTTAAAAAAATTTATTGATTAGGGTTGATGTTGGACTAACACATGAAGCTATGGGACAATTGTCGGATCCAGGGTTGATACAGATTATTTTTGCATTATTAGATTTTAAATGTATATTTTAACAACAAGTGTTGATTTTTGGAATTTAGTTTGGATTATTTCACACGTTACTGACCATTGAAAATTCTTAGATAAAGTAATATTTTGTCAAATTAGGCCTTTGCATTTGGAATCATAGTTTTTTGTCAGTTTATAATATGATGGTAATTTCTTTTGTGAACATCTAGGCGTATTACATAAAATGTATTTGTTCCGTACATTATATGAATTATGTTGATATATCAATTTTTAATAAACAATTAATCTTAATTGTATTACCTTTCTTTACTGTTGAGTGAATGACCCCCATTATATAATTCCATCACTGTAGAAATATTGAAACCACTTATCCACAAGGGCCATTATCAGTGGTCTTTAATCTTGGTAGCCTCACTTGTTTGAAGGGATTTATACCTGTCTTGGTCTGAGTAAACCAAAGATATTTTTTATTTGTTTTTCTAAGTTAAGATCAGATATTTTATTAGTATAAAATTCAAACAATTGGACTGAAACTAAGCAAGCAGCATTTAGGAGAAAGAGCCAAGACTGGTCAGCTCAAAGTTAAAATCATGTACCTGGGTAAGGTGACATGTCAGCCTGCAAACTGCAGTAAGATTGTGAACATGCAAATTACAATTTATCTGATACATGTATCAATAAGTGCTTAGTTCTGATTTGCATGTAAGATGATGATTGTGATATCCCATATATGCACTTTAAAAGTCAAAATTATTCTGAGATCTTGCCCTGCTTTTCACAAAAATCTTCGGACTAAAATTGTTCATGACGAATTATGATCAATATTAGTTGTACGAATTTTTTGGAAACAAGGACCAGCGCAATATAATCATGGTTACACCATTTGTTTTGTTTAAACAGGGACCCAGTTTGCCCTTCCTAGGTATTGTTTCCTTTACATCAAACAAAAAATTGGTACTTTGAAAATGGAAAATTATGGCACTGTAAAATTTTTCAACCTCAAATTAAATTAATTAAATTTAAAATTTCTGCTTACTGATTTGATCGTCTATATTCTCCAAGTTGTCCTGGTGCTCCATAGCTTCCATAGAATTTCCATAAAAAATTATCTCTACACAAAATTGTATTTTCCAAATATATAATTCAACATCAGTTTCAAATATACCTTATAATCACAGGTACAATATTAATTTTAATAGTTATATCACCATAGAAGTAACTTTTAGCTCAAAAGGTGTTAATATTTTATATAGAATTGTTAAAAAACTGACGTCAAAAACTTAATGAAAAATAAGTTAAACAGAAGGCATCCATCCAAAGCTACAAATTAAGTGCATTTTAAAGTCCAAAAGTCAACAATGATCATCCAGCAGAAACTGTTGTCGAAATACTTCTATAAATTTAGTATTGCACTAAGAACGTATCTTTCAATGTCTATTTCAAATTTTATTCATCATTTCTAAACTTAAACCTAGAGGCCACAATTTAAATGCTATCATACATTAATTACATTGACAGATTTCACTTTCAGCATTGTATCATAAACAGAAAATGCAATGTCATCAAAACTTTGACTCCACTAAAGAATGTTTATTTCAATGTGTGTTTCCATCTTACAAAATAATTTACATAAGTCAATCTCTAACTAGGTATTTTATCATCAAATAAACTAGGTCCAAATTGGGCTGCAAAACTGTTCACTTATCAACTAATTTTTTAATACTGCAAATCAATTTTTTCCAATTTCAACTGAATTATTTCTTTTCTATCCTTCTGTGAATTGAGTTTTTCTATCCTTCTGTGAATTAAATTTTCCCATTCATCTATGTAATATTTTTTTCCACTTTGCCATCAAACATTTTTTCCCTTTTTGCTATGAATAAATTTTTCCCATCCATCTATAAATTAAGCTTCATTCCTATTATTCTAAGAATTAATTGTTTCCATCTTACAATACACTCTTTCAGAAATAAGTAATATCTTGTTTAGGCAGAATTAATTAATAGCTTCTGAATTAATAATTAATGTATCTAGTATTTGGGTAATCACTAATCAAGATCACATTTACTTAGGATGTATACATAGTGGCTGGTCAATAGGACAGAGTCTGGTCAATAGGACATAAATGTCAATAAAGTATTTGACTGGTCAGATACAACTTTGTAAATACCTATTTCACTTGCATTCTACAGATATAAACCATAAATTTAAAGTGCCCCTTCAACAATTGCTTATTGCAGGAATTTACCCATAATACATGGAATTATTCTCTCTAAAAAAAAAACATCCACAAGCCTCGTAAAAAATGACACTATAATTCAATAAAATAGTTTTTTTAATCAATATTTGTCAAAACTAATTATGACTATCTAGTTAAATAAATATTTAAAATTCTGTAATAAAAGTTTCCAATTTCCAGTTTCAGGTACATTCGTATTGTTCCATTAATAAATCAATTTCCTTGTTTTAATAACAGGTTCAAATCAATAGTACTAATAAAACAAACTCATTGTTTATTGACGAAAGAAGAAATGTCTTATTTAAATACTTTTAGTCCTTTTGGGAATATTGGATTATTTCCCCTTTTGGAATAGAAAAAGAAGAAATTAAATGTAATGTTTACATCCAATTTAATCACTGACATTAATGCAGCTACTTTGATATAGAAGTTTCAATTGATTGATTACTGTTTGCTATATGTCCAGTGGCAAATAGTTCATGCATGTGTTACTCAAAGATGGCTATCTTGGTTTTTTCTATCGGGCAACAAAAGCACTTGCTGATGTTGGTTTCACTGTACAAGCTATTAAAATATACAGCAACTTCCATTCTGCTTTGGAATATAAAAATAGGGTCATTAGATGTGTTTTGATTGCCAATGTCAATGAGGCAACTATCCACCCAAGTTCAAATGAAGTGGATGTAAGCAATTATAGGCATCCATATCTAGTAAACAGACTATGAATCAGACAAATAAAATATAAGCTTAGTGGTCATCCAGTTGTGGACTAACAGTGTAGATTTTTTATTATGTGAATTATTCAACAGCTATTATCTAGCTTAGACAAAAAACAGGGTGAACCTCCAAACTTAGTTTAAACCCCTTCAATTGTGAACAAATAAAACTTTTCACATGTTGTGCCTGTAGAAAGTAATTTAGTTTTGCTCATTGTTGAACGCCATACGGTGACCTATATCTGCTAACCTTCTAGGTCATTTGTTCTCTGGCTGAGAGTTGTCTTAAATAACAATCATACCACATCTTTTTTTTTTCTAGACCATTTGTTGTTGTTGTTGTTTATCTTTTATATTTGTAAAAAAAAAAAAAAAACATTTAATGGTGTTATATACAGTCAAACCTGTATTAAGAGACCACTCAAGGGAGAAGGCAAAAGTGGTCTCTTAATACAGGTGGTCTTTGAATACAGGTTCTAACATTTGACCAGAGGACTAATTATGAGAACTGTTCATAATGTAATTAAATTTTTTCCTTGCCTTTTTGTATTTTCTTTTTATTTGTTCATACATCACAAGACATTACAATGTATTGGTAAATCTAATAAAAATATCATAATTGATTTCAAAAAGCTGCTTACAGACGCATTTTCCATGCAGCACGGACTTCGTAGATAACTTTACAGAAACATGATTTAAGGCGATTTACAGTAACCAGAAGAAAAAGTTACTGTAGGATACAGACCCAGCCCTATACATAAATAATTCAAGAGATATATAAGTACTGAGGGATTTCCAAATTACCAGAAATTACTGTACAGCCATCATTATTTTGCTAATCAAGGAATATTTATTTATTTATTTATTTATCAATCAATGCTCACTTTTACCCTGAGGGGTTGATGGCATTGATAACAACAGAACAATTTGAACACAAAAGCATAAAATCATTAAGATCAAGATGATCGAACAGTCAATAATTCCATAAATACATGTACTTATAGTAGCATGTTTATAACTTCTTATAAATACTTATGCAAGTATGGAGTCCACCCCCTGCAAAATGTGGCCATGGTTGACCATGGTCAAAACATGGCCCATCATGGTTCTTCATGCTTTTAACTGTGGTTTTTGCTAATGTGTATCATGGTTCTTAACTCAACCATGGTTTTACTACTTAGACCATGGTTACATTTTCATAGACAAGTTTTACTTCTTAGGCCATGGTTACATTTTCAAAGACCATAGTTTTACTATAAATTGAGATAAATTAACGATAGAGATCAATGACATCACAATTAATGTAGCTATCATCTCAAGAAAAATTGAAAAGAAAAAATTGATTGGCAGATTGTGTTAAATGCCACTTTTTGCACTCATGGTTATTAATGTGGCAGTCAGCTTTTATTGCTGGAGGAAGCCAGAGTACGTGGAGAGAACCACCTACCTGTGGAAGGAAAACTAGCAATCCTAGTTAATTAAGAAGGGAGTCAAAGACACCTGCCACACCAGGATTTTAAACTTGCAACATCAGTGTTGACCAGCTTTTGATTACTGTAATTGAGTTACTTATGCCACTCAGCAACTGATTCTCCATCTCATAGGTAGGCATCCTCTAGAATTTTGGTGAAAGTCCGTACATTTTGTCGCTTAATCATCTCAATTTGATTCAATCAACATTACCTTCTGAGACATCAAGAGAAAATGAAACAATCATCTGTTTCAGACATTGTCAATTCGACAAGATCAAGAAGATTTTCATCTTCTCAATATGAAGACATTGCAAACCTCATAATAGATACGGCAGTATTGGATTATTAAAAGTAAAACTTCACCAGGAATGCTCAAAGCCAAGCCTTATAATGCCCAAGGATAAATTTCAAGTTATCTTATCACAAAAACTTACATTTGCAGGGTACTCTAGATAAGGACTTAACACATCAATTTAACTACCGGTTAACCGGTTAATCGGTCGAAAGATTATCCGAGTAACTGGATAGGCAAAACTGTTCGATTTGACAAAACGTATATTAACCAAGTAAATAATAGATGTATTTACACTTGTATGCAAATTTGTCCACCATTACGTAAAATCACACAGGTTCCCGTAAACTATGACATCATAATTCAAAACATTTGACGTCACAATTAAAAAGTGATTGTTGCCTGACGTCAAAAGGTGATTCGGAGTAGATCTTAGGTCATTCAGAGGCAAAATATAGCTAAATACCAAAAGTGTAAATACGTTTATTCACCAGTGTTCTTCTATATGTTAAACACCTCCAATATAAATTATTAATTGGTTACTGTTTAAAATAGGTAAGCTCAATAACATTTTTGTTTCATCAAATCAATTACTGTTAATGAGCATTTCAAAAGTAATTCCCAATCCATTATAGTATACAATTACTTGTAATTATGTATTCCGAAAGAGGATATATTTTAATTACTATAATGGTTTTAACCGCTGGAGACTTGTATCAGTTACAATAAAGGTCAACTTTACCATCTATGCCCATTAAACTATGTGCCTTTATAATGATTTGATTTTTGGTGTTTTAACGCTACTTTTAAGCACCGCTTTTGGGCTATTTCATGGCCGTCAGTTTTTATTGGTGGAGGAAGCCCGAGTGCCCGGAGAAAACCACGACCTTTGATAGGAAAACTGACCATCCTAGTCAATTAAGATTGGAGTCGAGTGCACCTGCACGAGCGGGGTTCGAACTCACAACCTCAGTGTTGACTGGCTAGTGATTACAGTAGTAACTACTTGGACCACTCGGCCACCGAGGCCCCATGTGCCTAATGTAACAGGAGGCATGATTCATAATACGAGGCAGGCGTTACCTGTGAAAGGGGACTAACTCTGTATACATTATTTGTTTTAATATTCAAGCCTATTTTAACTTCAGAATCTGTTAAAAAAGAAACGGAAATACAGAAACATTTTCGACGTTGGTGCTGTTGTTAGGGATTTTAGTTGTGACGTCATTTTCAATATAAAAAAAGAAACACTAATTATTAGGTAATGTTTTTTTTTTCATATCAAAGAATTATCAAAAACAACAAATTAACGGGAAACAATATGATGCTCCTTACAATATTTTACAAGTTGCAGGATATAAGAGACCGGAAGAAAGAAAGAGATATGTCTGCGCAAATGCGGGAAAATAAAAAAAGTCTGAAAAAAAGTTAACGATTTTGAGTTCATAAGTAGATTGATATTTTTTTTGTTTTTTGTTTTTTTTTTTTTGATTTTTCTACCATAATTGGGGACCTTGTCCCCATATTACAAAATCACATTGTCTCCTCTGGGACTCGACCCCGGGACCTCTTTGTTACAAGATAGTGCTTTAACCGACGGAGCTAAAGGAGTACTTCCATAGCTCAACCACTTCAGCTGGCTAAGTATCTACTACATGTACTAAGGGAAGCAATCCCGTTACACTTCCACCACCTCAAGAGTCATCATACCCTTATGACTCTCACAATACATAACATAGCTAGAAAACCAACGTGTTTTTTTTTGGTTGGGCTCCAAATGTAACCAGTGAACAAGAATAACTTGTTAACAGCCTATTTATATATGTAATGCACATGGAAATTTGATTTAATATGAGAAGGATATGATTGACACAGACTAGAAAAAGTAAATGTGTTCATAAGTCGTGATCAGTGAACCGTGAAATCTGGGTAAACCTCTTAATTTTTTTCATATCAAATCAAAAATGAATGAGTGTTCGAAGTTTCTAGTTAGTACAGTCGATTCCACTTAATTGCATACCGCTTAATAGCATAATTCGGTTAATTGCATACTTTTCTCCTGCACAAAACCATTTCCCATTCATCTAATGTTAAATTGTCCGGTTATATGCATAGCCTTACAAGTGGCCTTTCGGTTAATTGCATAGAAAATATTCGCCAGCTAGATATGCTTAGTTAAAACTGACGAGATTTTTGACCGGAAACGGCAATTTGGTAAGTATATTTTTCTTGAATGCATCATAATTTTCGTTATTATTTCATATTTACTTTTGTGTTATCTAAATAAAGTTTTAAAACAGTTTCTTTCGTGTTTATATGATTATAAAATAAGCCTCGATGTGTACACAGGTAAAGTTTCCCATGTTCTATTTTGAGCCTCGAGGTCATAAAACTGTCAAACTGGTGATTGTTGTAAAAACACGTCCAATCTATCTCAAAAGGTGTTAACTATTGATTGGATTTCAAACATTGTTCATAGATTACATTTGGGGTGAATTTTAAAAACAATAACCCGTTAATTATCGATCAGTATCCAATGTGTACTCTCGTAATTCGGCTTGGGGTGATCTACACTTATGTTAAATATTACAGGGCATTTATATATGGTTGAAGAATTTTATACATCAATCTTTTATTTTTAATATTTTTTGAAAAGAAAATCAACTTCTAATTATTATATTTTCTCTCTTTCAACACTCGTGTCCTGCAAATAACCCGTACAGGGCCCCATTACCTGTTAACTGCTTTGCATATACGAAACTAACGAGGTTAAAGAAACAGTGTTACATCACTGTGCAAGCGGTAAATACTGCATATCAAAGGCAGTTTAGTATACATTTATTGTTTAAAATGATTATAAACTGTGTAGTATTGTTAAACAGTTAATTTAATCAAAGCGTAACAATGTACATTGTACATCCGGGTCATAGAAACAAATCTATTTTTAGAACAATTAGTTTTATTTTCGTATCTCAGGTAAAGGAAAAGTCGGTACGCAAATAAACTAAAACAAAATGTGTTTATTAACTTTATTGAAAGAATACAAAATAAAATAACATGTATAACACTAGACACATAACTTTTATTAGAATAAATAAGCATTCAATATGTTGCAAGTGGATTATGGACGTTCATCTTTCTTCAGGGATTTCCTTTACTGATCTGTACTTTCGTCGTGTATCGATGTTATTTGACTCCGTAATTTGGCATTTCGGATATAAGCATACTCCGCTTAATTGCATAATTTTGTCTGACAAATAGGCTATGCAAATAACCGGAATCGACTGTATTACCTTAACTTCATGGTCAACTGCTTTAAACCAAAACTTTCACCCGATAGTGGACAGACTTATGGACACACAGCTGGGAGCCCAAGAAAACATGATGCCTCTCGATTTTTGTAGGTAAGGCACAACAACTTGTACGAGAAACAATCATGACTTGAGGAAAATAAGAAAATATATTCAAAGTTCATTCCTACGTTCAATGCAGACATAAACTATCAAATTGTTGACTATCCTTTTCAACTATACATGAAAAAACCAAGAATTTCCAATAATATTTGACAATAAAACAATCACATCAACCAACACAAAAGTTAATACATTGGCCTTCCAGAATTTCTTCTAGCTGGTCTTCTCGATACCATTTTGTAGCTTTACAACAAAATTGTTCTGGGCCAAAGGGCCAGAAAACATGAAATATCATTGGGGTTTTCTTTTGAAAATTTTTTTAATCTAAGGTGAGCTGGAGTCTGCTGGACTCACTGGTAAGCCTCATTGGTCTGTTAGAATTTTGTCATATTGAGTTAACTCCTCCTCATGTATTTCCATTTAATATTCAAAGAGAGATAACTCTATTTTTCTTTCAGTCAAAAGAAACAAACTCAATATGTTTTTTTCTGAAAAATTTATTATGCAGTTAAATGTAAATATATAAACAACAATTAAATATGACAAAGATATATCTTTTTTACATCATTTGGAATATAAACATTTAATGTTCAAAACATACTGGTATACAGTTCTGTATGTGAAAAATATATTTCCCCTCTTTTTAATAACATAATATATGCATATTTACACATAAACAACTCTCATTTCTTAAAGACCTTTCACTAAGTTTTAAATACAATAATATTCTCAAAAGAGATGTGAAACTTAGAGCAATCACATTTTTGACATATTTCAATTTTGATGTAAAAATTTGCTAAATTATATAAGTTGTATCATAAGTTCACTGATTTTAAATTTAACTCCTGGATAATATACCAAAACTTTACATCTTTACTGGGTGATACAAAGGTAATCTTTTAAGTGTTTTAATTTTTCAATTGAAAAAATATTAATAATTAAAAAATATAAATGTCCCAATTTACATAATAGTGAAACTTCAGAACACAAAAAATTTGAAACTGTTTTCAAACAACTAGACAAATAAATAATAAATATGGGATTTTCTATCTGGAAAAAAAATCCACAAATCTTCTTAAATCTGGAACTTACTTTAAATCTGATTAACATAATCAGCAAAGTTTGACTCCACCCACTTGACAAACCATATTAATCCAATTCCGCCCACTTGACAAAACATATTAATCTATCAAGACTTTTTCAAACCAAAGTCTTAGAAATACTAAATATTTTTGGCAGTTTACATAATATATAAGCATTATAATATCTATTATGCAAAATAAACTAATCTAAATTATTCAAAACAATCAGGATTTCATATTACATAATGTGTAAATATTTCATGAAAAATGAACGAAAATAAAAAATATATAACCTGGATTTCATGTTTTGTATCAAGAGTTTTCTCCCTTAGTACAGTCGTTCCACAAATCCTTAGATGAGATCAAATATACTGCCCATCAATTTCATTTAATTATTAAGCGATTTAAATTCTTTTATCATTTTGAAAGTTTTACAATTTCATGTATTTTTGAGCATACAAGTTGAATGAAAAAGAATTTTTACGCAAATAAACATTAAATGGACATGATTCTATGATATTTCTATAATTACAAGGTCAATTGTGATAACAATCCAAATAAATAGTCAAAATCCTGGACAAAGTGGGATCTTTATTTTCTTTTTCAATTAAATGACTATAGTTGGGAACATGATTGATTGCAATCAGGTTAGAAAGGCGAAGATCTAAAAAAAAATTTAACTTGATTTCCATATCAATAGAGACATCCAATTTGATGAAAAATATAGCGTGATGATGTCAAAATTCAAAAGTTTTCAATTTAAACTTCAACAATAAGAGATTTCTTATGATCGTTCATGGTCTGATGGAAAATGCCTTATTGATGTACTGAGAAATTTAAATTGCCCTCTAAACAGTATTATTCACATGAAATTTCAAATACAAACATTATAAGTATATATAATAAAGTATTTTAATAATATTGGTTTAGCAAACATTGGTAGGTGCTTTGACATTGAGATGTATACTTGAATAAACAAAGGCCTAATAGGTGTACACGTAGCTTTACGATCGAGATCTATTTTTATCTAGGATTTCCTTAATAGGTATGAATTAATTGTGTACGCTGTTTACACATGGTGATTTCATGCTAGTCAATATTTCAAATTGCTTTGTACTTTTTACCTATTGAATATACAAAGTGAAGAATTCGTTGAAGCGAAGAATTTATTGAAGTGAAGAGTAAATGGCGTTTGAGTCATTATTAATGTGGCATGCATGCATTAAAAAGAAATAATAAAAAAAAACTTGTTTTTCTTAACTTCATTTGCTATAAAGATTTTTTAAAGATTTTTCTTAACATCTACATCTACATCAAATGAGAACATATCATGGATGGGTTAAAATGGTACAACTGAGAAAGACGATCTTTAACAATAAATCAGACGTAATTGTTTTCATAATGAACTGGCCTAATTCTTCCGCTAAGTGGATCGATACAAAAGATATGAATAATTGAAACATCCATCAACTTTGGGATTTCAAAAAGAAAATGAGAACTCATTCTTTCCCATGTCAAAGACACTTTTATCATAAACAATCTACCCAAATGAACTTTAAAGTTATTTCTTAACATGTTTGAAATCTAGTTTAAAGGAAAAATTTATGTTCGCTTAATTAACCATAATATTTTTATATCACAAGTTACAACTGTGACATGTAAATTGATTAGCCAAAACAACTTCAAATTAAAATCAAAACCTAATCATGTAAATAGATGTCAAAAATTTGGTGAGTTATTTCCCTTTAATTTTACATGGGTTCCAGATTTTAGTCATAAAGTAATTTCATAGTTACCTCCCTTTTTCACAAAAGGCTTCTGAATTCAGGGAAGATAATAAGAGCACATAAAACAAAGATTTCATTTACAAAACTGTAATAAATAACAATAGCCAGATAAATTAAATGCAAAATGAGTTAAATTTAAACAAATAATGACAGTTTACAGAAATTTTCAAAAATACAATTTAATATTATTGTTTAATTGCTTCCAAGAACACAAGATAGTATTGCAGTTCAGTACTGAATAAACTAAGAACTTTTTTGTGACATGATCGACAACACTTTCATGAAACATGCAAGCTGCATGATGCCATTGTTGAGTATTATTTGCTAGCCATGACACTCCAATCTATTAGTTTGTGAATTATTAGTCTTCTGGTTCTGTCCTAGCTGTGACCTCTGGCACTGGCTCTGCAAACAAGGTCATTAGGTCAAAGGTCAAGTTGAAATATGAATTCATGATTTTTGTTCTTAATTTCAAGTTAAAATACTTTTAAATTTGATTTTTCATGAGGTTTGATTTTGACTTTTAACATAAAAATGTAAAAACATACTTTATGAACTTTGCCAGGTGTTCAAAATACAAAGGACTTGAATATCAAAATTAAAATCTGTAAATCTTTTATAGAATCATTTTTCTTGGAAAAATCATAATTTAAACTGGACATAAATGAATTGAATATATGCTATAAGGTGTCAATTTTCAGAATTTTTCTTACGCTTTACACATGCATGTAAATTTTGCAAATACCTTGGAAACAATACCTGAATACCTTACAAATGTTAAGAGTCGGTTAGTTATTTTTAAAATTGCATAACTATATCATTAGACAATATAATATTCAAAAAATAATTTTTCCAAGAAGTGTTTATTAAAGAAGAGGTTATCATTTTTCCAAGAATCGTTTTTAAAGGTGCAAATTAAATTTGAATAAAGTATAGGTGACATTTTTTTTTAATTTAAAGACGTAGACATTAAGACAAAACATAAATATAATTATTGCTAAGTCTTTTTATTTTATTATAAACAAATAATATTCACAGTGAACATGCTAAGTGTCATTATTACTACTTTTTATCTAGCACAGTTATTTCCCTTATGCAAGAGTTTTCTCCCCTTTCACTACCATACAATATACCAGACAACATCTGGCTGATGGTAATAATTTTCAATTTTCCTAACAGCTTAATTTGTTGGTGTAATCATGGATGTAAAATGTTCTTTTTGAAAAAAAATTGCGAGTCAAAATCAAGAACTAGAAAAAGCAAGCAGGCAAGATCTTTCTTAACATAACTTGCCCTTAAACAACATTAACTAATAAAACTAGTAAGTCCAGTGACAAGATAATTTGGATTTGCCTAGTTTTATATCAGTATAACTTGCCATAGGTAATCAAGATTTTTTTTACTAAGACCACTTCCAATGCATTTGTTCAAGTGTGGAGAAAAAGAAATTGAACATTTCCAAACAAGGGAACTAACTCTTGCCAATGGGAGACAACCCATGCTAGACAAAAAGAAAAGACTACAATTAATACAAATTTACAACACCATTACCACATTTGACATAATAAATATAAAATTAAAATTGACAAGCATGCTTTACATATAATTAAATTATTTTAAAATTATACATTGATTGCGCTTCGACTTCTATGTCATGCAGTGAAATGTAGCTCTAAATTCTAATTAAACGTAATTTAAACTAGAACAACTTAGCATTCTTACCCACTAAGCATTTTTTGTAGATATAAAAGTGGTTATTTTTTTACATTTTTTCATTTTAATATTTGAAACATTAATGCTGCAGATAGTCCTAGTTAAGGATTCTAAATTTGAACAATATCATAAAATATAAAAAAAAAAAAAAGAGATGTGTAGGTAACTCAATGACACAGCAACCGAAAAAACATAAAAACCCCTCAAGATATTTAGAGGTCAAAGCTGAGTCTTGTTATTAACACTAATTGAATACATATACATATTAAGAAACGTGGGAGTTGCATATGCAGAAAAAATTTGCCCCCTACAATGATGAACAAAACAAATGTTTGCACTTTACATGAAGCATGGTTGCAAGCAAGCTAAGTAAATCAAAATCTTTAAATAAAAGTTTTATATATATCATATGTCAAGAATTACTTTAGTCTGGTCGTTAAAAAGCAATATCCGTCATTTATCTACCACACTAATTTGAAGTTTTATTATGTAATTTTAAACTTTTTTTTATATTTTTATTCATTTTAAAATCTTCCTGTCATGTACATTATTAATTTAATGACTGCCTGCTCATATTTGGAAATAAAAGGATTACAAAATTTTTCAACACCCCTACATTAATATGTGATCCTGAACACCCACTTAAATAGAAACCATTTAGAATAATGAACCTCAAAAGTTATAAAATTTACGCCCTTCAAATTACACCTCCTTTCGTAGCTAAAATGATGCAGTCTTGCTTCACTGACTTAAGATCATACATGTACATACTTATTTCAAGCTACGATAAATTTTTTAAAGGAATTTTAATTGATAATAAATTTATAAAGTGCATGGTTTTGGTTCAAAAGCACCTAAAAAACAAACAAACTTCTACCTGTACAATTTTGTTAACCACTTAAATGAATTTCAACAAATCTGATTAAACAAGGCTTTTTTCTTACAATTCTTTTTTGGGATGGGGGAGGGTGGGTGTTAAAAAGTTGGTTTAACGTCATGTCCAATGGCAAATATATTTAAATTTTGAAGACATGAAAAGTTCAACAATTTATAGAACTCTAACAAAATTGTGGGAAAAATACAACACAAACATGGGCAACATTTTTTGGGGTTGCCAAATCAGCTTTATATAGTTCCCACAGTTGGGGATTGTTTTTTTTTTTTTTAAATAATAGCATGATCATCTAATATTTCTACTGGATGAAATGGGATGGACATGTGATATACAAAATGGAAGGAGACGACAGATATAACTATTATTTGAGCGTAGGAGGGCATGAAACCACAGATTATAAGTACTTTGAGCTTTCAGTAATATTTTGCATATTTTGTTTTGTTTTTTTTCACTTCCAGTTTTCAACCTATGTTCTTTTAAGTACCTTTCGTTCATTTAAAGTGGAGGGAAGATTTAGTGACAGTTGTTTCATTGAATCCAAATCTCCTTTTTTTCAAAAGTATTTTAACTCTTATCCCTTGTAAAAAATTCTAAACACATCAACGACAAACATGCATGATCTAGAAATGGTACGGAAAATACAGTCAGAACTGAAAAAGGCAAAGATGCTAAATTTTATAATATTTTGAAGCAATTTTATTTTCAGCTCCTTGTTAACTCATTAATGTACAAATGTTCTTGCAAATTTCAAATACAGTGGATTTATAATTATTTCGTGGATACTTAAATATTCAAAGAATTCGTGAGTATAAGTGAACAAAATACAAATTTTCTATCAATTTGCAGAATTATAAAAAAAAAATGACCTGAATCCAAGAAAATTAGTACTAACGATAATATTCTTCTTATAAATCCAAAGTAACTAAATCATGTCTTGAAGTACCTATCAAACATGATCAGTCAAATGAAAAATGAAAGGTTTTCAGAAATTCACTTGTTGCCAAACTTCATGATTGCATGTACTGTATTTCTGTGACAAAATTGATACAAAAAAAAATTGCAAATGCTTACATAAAATATTGTATATATATATAAACATGCAAACAACATTATTTTCCCTACCTAAAGCCTATACAGCTCTGCAATTATAAACAGCACTAAATTATCACATAAGCAAAATACAATTCAGTTTTCAAGCTATTGCTTAATTAAAAGTACATAACATTAACAATGAACAAGCGCTAGGATCTAAGGGGGGAAAAATACACTACAGCTCGGGTGAATTTTACTTTTTCCACTAATATTTCCACTAATGAAGTGACAGGGCAAATTTTCAAATGATCTCCTGACTTTCTATCCTATGGAATGGAAATGTGATTTCTTTTCTTTCATCACAAGAATTCAACATATTTTCTTGGAAATTTTTTTTTTTTACAAAATACGAGGTAAAATTTTAGTGGACACTAGTTTTCTGCCCATGATGGACAGGAGGACATGAGAAAATCCACCCGAGTTATAGTGTACATCTACATGTATGATTCCTGTTGCAAAAATTTAATTGAACATCGTCACATATGCATAGATACGAATACTTGCTTCAGTTGTTATTTTCAAAAGAATATGCATCTTTCTAGCATTCCTTAAGGTCTGAAAACAGGGCACATTTTTGAAGAGTATTTCTTGAAAATCAGGAATAAATCCCAAAATTCAAATATTTCCAAAATTGTTGTTGAGCATGTTGAGATTTGTCAAAGACCAAAATATAAAAATTTGCAACAACAACCACACTAACTTTTTTTATTTGGTTGCAATTATATTTAAAAATAGTTGTTTAAGATTAAGATATAAATCCCTTTCTTCCAGCTTCTTTTGGCTTCCAAAAACAAACAAATCACGATTTATGCATGCAATCTGATGCTCTATCGAACAAGCAGCGAAGTCTGATAGCTTTTTTATTATTACCGATCATATCATGTTATAATAGTCTTTAACTTCTCATGCCATACATGTGTATTTGCACTACAAACATGCTACGGATTAAGATACATGTTACATCAACTTACATGTATATCGGTTCTTGTAAGTACATGTATCTATTATGCATTCCAGTACTAATACATGTACATGTAATATTCAAGGAAATTGATCATGGAATTGACTTATGAGTTTTTGTATACTACATTTAAGTATCAAAAGTACTGAAATAACTGTCGATAATTTGATAAATATGGGAGACACAACTAAATTGATGACTATTAAGGAGTAATAAAATTACCACTAAACCTTAAAACTTGTGGACCATCTGTAAGGTTAGCTATAATATGTCTCTTATTATTTACCAAAAAATCCCCTTTATTTTTCTTAGTAGACCTTATTTTTTTTTTAACCTTCCTATGGCTTGTAACTTTTTCCAATTAATCACAAATTCCCAATGAAAGCACATGACTTTTGAGCTTCAATCATTGTGTCTTTTTACGAGATACCCCTAATCCAAAACTGAAAGGACATTAGGTTAGTGGCCATATTTGAGGTACATGTGCATTTACGTCATCTGGGCTCTCAGTTATAAAACTTTACTCAGTGGTCAGTTTTCGGAATACAAAATGTGTGCTCAATTCAAACACTAAATCCAGTTCTTTGATTGGTTGATTTCTGAGTCTGAGTACAACCATACTCGAAATTTTTATGACCACACGGCCTGCAAACACTGTTTTTGTATGTAATAAACATATTCAAAATATACAGAATTATGGATACAGTGTATAATGAGATCAAGGATATTTAGCACACGTAATTTTTAGCTACATGAATATGATTGATATAGATTTATATGATATTACGGGGTACAAACTGTTATTTTGAATTCTAATATAAAACAGCTTCAGACTGCATGCATCCGTTTGCTTCTCACAAAGCTTCTACTTAAATTTGTTAAAAAGTTATGTAGTTTTAAACAAAAGCTTAATAACTGAATTGTATATATAAATATTTGCACATACATGAAATTAAGGGGTACATCTTTTACCAGCATATGACATATAATTGTAAATAATTTTTTGCAAAACCAAGCTTATTTCAACAGATCTTGCTAAGAGGTGCGTTATTAATATTTCACATTTGAATTTTTATACCTTTCATTAACTTTCTCTTCTTTTTTTGCAAATTATTTTTTATAGGCTATGTTGTTAGCATATATGTATTCAAGAGTTAATGTGCGTGTAAAGAATAATTATGGTTAAAAGATTTTATTTCGTAACTATAGCAATTTAAAATATGTTAATAATTCTTCTCAATTTTTTAGTATGGAGAAAAGGAGATGCAGGGTTTGTATTTGTAAATTAGACAGCAAACCATCAGATCAAAAAAACGTAGTCAGACTGTACATATATATTGAAAATAACTTATTACAGCTGAAGTGAAGAAAAATTTGAAAATCCTTAAATCACCCATTTTGCAAAAATATCTGCGAAAATCACTTGGTTCTTAGTTACAACATAGCAGTACAGATCATGCAGCCTGAAAAATGGGTTAGCATGTGCACAGAAGCAAAAGCTTGAACTGTACAAAAGATGGCTTAAAAAAAAAAAAAACCTGTGTTTCTGCTAACACTTCAAAAAAGTGTCAATGTTTTGTTTTCCTTTCAAATACAAACTTTATATGCATGTTACTGCCTAAAATGGCTGTAAATGGTTCCTTTTTTTTTGGCGAGTGTTACTGAAGAAAAGGGGGGGGGGGGGGGGGGGGGGTGTAGAAAAATCCAAATAATTGACATTTATATCATCTTTTACATTTCCACCTTATTCTTGTATTCTTCATATTTTAAAGCTAAAACCAAGACTATGTTTACTGTTCACATTTTTGTTAAAATGTAATCTTCTTTTGGCAAGAAATTAAGCAAAAGTCAGCGTTCTAAAATGCAGTAAATTTGAGAATTGAAATTAAAAAAAATTCTGAATTAGGATATCTTGCTGGTCAGGGGTCAGCTCTGTTAACAAAAGCACAGGTTATCAGTATTTTTCTAATTTGGCCTCATTTTGATCTTGTTTTGATCAACTAGTTCATTTAGTTTTATGATACATTGTATTTAAAAAAAATATGCTGATTTTTTTTTCTTTTGAGTATCAAGCTTTTGCTCTCATAAGAGACTGTCCATATCCCAACAATGAAATAATAGTGGCGATTTTGTGGAAAACTTATAAAATGTCTTCTTTTTATTTCGTTTATTGTGAATTCCTTTGAAGCAAAATTCACAGAAAGAAAATGTACCAAATTTTTGTTTTATCTTTTAAAAAAATTTGAATGCTGCATCTTTCAAGCTACAAAATCTTTACAAATAATTATATTAAAACACAAAATTACAATACAAAAATTTCCATACTTATATGATTAATAAATCATAATTAATTTTTTATTTATCATAAATCATTTAGTCAATCAAAGTCCAAATATAAAAACTATGTTTCCACAAAATGAATGCGGTCTATTCCATGCTTTATCCAACAAAAAACATCGAAAAAAAGGGGAAAAAAAACGTACCTTGAATTAGTATAATAATAGTGCAGGGTTAAGCGAGAGATGCTATCAATATAACATAAAATTACCCTCTGCTTTCTTTTTTTCCTTTTTCCCTTTTTTCTCTTTTTTGTTCTTTTTATTGCCTCTCATTTTAACAATAACTGGTGTTCCATTATCATTAACAATCACTTGTCCATTTTCCACGCCATTATCACGTACTTGCTCCAAAATTTTCAGCTTCCTGCTTTCTAGAGAACTTGACGAGGCAGAAGAACTTGCATCGTCATCCTTGTGACCTTTAGTTTTGACAGAGGTCACGATTTTCTCCTCTTTTGGTTCTCTCTTGCTGAAGGTCCAGTTATCTCTGATAACGGCATGTACGACTTCACCTTTTGAGATGACGGTTCTTTCCTCGTCGGAATCGCTTGTTGATGAATCTGAAGAGGACCCAGAAGTGTAGTCACTTGACCTTGATACATAATATTTTTTACCAGGAGCAGAACGTCGAACAACCTGTTGAACTACTTGTGGATTTTGTATGTATCTAGATGGGCGTTCTTCTCTAATGACCTGTGAACTTTGAACGTATCTAGCAGATGGCTGAACTTCTCTGATAACCTGTTGATTTTGAATGTATCTAGCAGATGGTTGACTTTGTCTTATGATCTGTTGTCCCCCATTCATCATCACACCCCTTGAACTGTCAATCACTGTCCTATAACCCCCTTGAACAACATGAGGTGATACTACACGCCGTTGAGCAACTCTTTGGACCTGTGGATTAGCTGGAAGAACTCTGGTGACGATTTTTTCCTGTCGATGCCTTGGCATGCTGATAAGACTGGGTTCTGCCGAAATCATGCTTCCATTGGTTGTCAGGGTCTTTACCGGAGCCTGCATATGTCGCATGGTCCTTCTTGAAGGCTCTGTGACCACATACTTGTCCGTTACGTCCATGACTTGTCCGTTGGTGAGATCCTCCTCCAAATAAACATATCCCCCTCCTGGACGGACGTATGTTCCAGACCCTCCATGACCTCCATGACCTGCATGACCTGCATGACCAGATACAACTGAAGTAGAAAATAGTCATTTGTATGTGATATTGCATTTTTTTTTTATTTTGATAAATTCTCCATAAAACACATCTACATGTATGGCATACAAAAGCCTAAGTCTGTATCTATTAAGAGTCATTGCATACACTTTTCACTCATCTGGATTTAATTTTGTCTGCATTGACTACCGGTACATATATATAGATACAGGCTCTACCAAAGAAAAGCAACCATATTTTATTGCTGTAGGGGACAGCTTAAGTCTTTAACTAAGGATATAATTTCCTTCAAAATTGGATAATCTGAGGTTATCACATGATATTAAGATTTTTTTGTATCTGAATTCATAGTGATGTCTATTGTTAGAAGAAATAGCAGCAATTTATAGTTACAGAGGCCATTTTGGTAGATTTGCAGGTTTCTCTTAAAGAGAGGCGAAAGATACCAAAGGGACATTCAAACTCACAAGTCGAAAACAAAACTGACAACGCCATGGCCAAAAAAGAAAAAAAAAACAAACAAACAACAGTACACAAAACACATCAAAGATAACTAATAAAGACTGAGCAACACAAACCCACCAAAAACTGGGGGTGATCTCAGATTCTACGGAAGGGTAAGGGGATCTTGCTCCACATGTGGCACCCGTCGTGTTGCTCATGTAAGTATAAACCTGGTGATAAGTCTAATTTGGTAGTTCAATTTTTTAACAATTTTTTACATAAACATACAAACAGGAATAAATTGAAATGTAAGGTATACATTATTGAGACAGCAACCGAAAAACAAATAACAAAAAAAAAACATTTAAACATTTATAGAAATTTTAGTACATATTTTTAAATAAAATTTTCTATTCTTAGTAACAGTGGGGCCATATTGGTTGGTCAACAGAAACATTGGTATATAGTTCTGATAAAATTACACTTAATGTTTTCATTCATTCAAGTTCCATAACTTCAGAATAATTTACAATGATATCCTTTTGACCTTTTCTATTAATAGTAACAGTTGCCATGTAGATTATGTTATTTGTCCGCAGGCAAAATTTTCCCAATATTTTGAAACTAAACAACCTAAGGATAATTGTGGTTAACAATAGTGTAATAAGACCAATTGGTTTTAGAGTAGAAGCTTTTTTCCCTTTAAGATTGCCTGCAGCGGCCACATATTGGACAAGTGGTGAACTCCCAAAACCAAAATCACAAGCATTAATCAACAGCTATTTTGAGAAAGACACCAACAAAATTATTTTAATTGAATAAGCTAATTTCATAAGAATTTTAGTTTAAATATAATTATGTAGGGTGCTACTAGAGGAATATTTCGACAACTTTTCATTAGTTTAAGTTTCATGGCTTAAAAATAATTGACATACATATACATGTATTCCCATATGTTCTATTTATAGTAATAGCAGCCACGAAGGTGATGCCAAAGCCCTGTGTAGACTGATTTCCCCAATTAAAAAAAAAAAATTTTTTTTGAAAAGTTTTAAGACAAAGGACAATATACACAAAGTGATTACAATAGCAAACAAAATTGATTCTTTGATCGAGCCAGGTGAGCTAAAAAAGAAATAACTTTAGAACTGAATTAATATTTATAGAAAATAACAAAAAGAGGTAGGGATTATATTGAGATGCTTGGAAGTTTATCAGACTGAAGCTACTTTTTACGCAAGACTTGCTCCTGCAAATAAAATATGTTGCAGTGAATTATATAATGTTTAATGAATATTTATGAAGAATTACCAAAATGAATAAAAGATAGATCATTTATAAATAGGTATGAAGATGACGGGAGTGATCAAATAGCAGGTGGCATCTGAATTTGTTTACTTTAAGATCAAATGTATGCAGCTGGAATTTAATATCTAAATATATATAACTTAAAAATATCTACTTCTATGCTTTTGTATGAATAAAAGTAAAAGAGAGGGTTATACAATAGAAGGGCAAGTTCAAATCTCAAATGGTGAAAAATCGTGAACATTCAACAGAGACAACCAAATTAGTTTTTTAAGGTGAAAGACGAGCAAATATAGATTATACCAGTACATTGAGTGCCATACAATATTTCCACCTGTGACAGTAAATTTTTTTTAATTCAAAACATGACGACTTGCGCGATTTAAATTTATTTAAAATTTAACTGTCAAGAGTGGAGAAATAGTGTATTGCACAAGATTCGATGATGGAATCTTTTTCTTGAACAAGATATGAAGACTTACTTCAACTTTCTTCTACAATGATCTGAAAATAATATGTATTCTCTCTCTGTGACTTCATCGGGCATGGCTGTCTTTTTGTGTGTCATCATAATAGGAAAAGAAGAGGAAAGCAAAAAAATTTGATGTCATAATAAATTTGACCCATGAAAAACTAAGATCAATAGAACCTTACTGTTGACTAAATAAAAAAAAACCTGTCCATGTGACACAAAGGCCCCACCAATATGTCAAATTTAGCCATAGGCAATTTTTCTAATAATGTCTTTCAACGGAAAATATTGTCAATTTCGCACGCCTTTATGACGTCATTTACCAGATAGAAGGCGCGCCTGTACTCCTGCTCTATTAAAGTTTAAAGCACTTTCATAATCGTCATTCTGTAGGGTAGTCTAGAAATAATTTATGTTCCGTAAGGACGTAATCTTAATTCCCTTACGACTGAAGGGCGGATGACCAATTTATTAGATTTTAATTTCCCAAATATTTGTGCAGTATAAGATCAAACTTTTTAACCCGTTTGCTCAACATGTGTTGGAAGTGATGATGCCTACATTTTGGTCACATGGTGATGGAAGTCACATGACAGATTTAACTAACTACCATATCCCAGAACTGGCTTATTTTTTTTCATTTATAGAGACATATAGAGACATAACTCCAGAACAGTGAAATAACACCATTGAAATTCGATCTGTGTTTGATGGTAATAAGCACTGTGTGTAAGTTTCATTATATTTGGTTGAGGCAAACGAAAGTAATTTGTAACCAATTTCGGGACAGAAATACAGACAGATGAGGGTAAATTTTAGTACCACTTTAATCATGACGGGGCATAAAAAAAATTAAACCAGTCAGCATAGTCAGGGAATGTATAAATCAGTTCAAAATTAGAGAAAACAAATTATGAACTTCCAAACACAAAATTAGTCATTTTTACAGTCAAATTTTAAAGCTTTTAGAATTTATTATGAGGCCAAGAACATCACAACCCATTCAACCCTTTTTTTAAATTTAATAATCTTACGAAACATTTTCTCAATTGTTGGGAAAGACATTATTTTGGGAAAAAGTAATTTAGATTCCAAAAATTTTATCAAAAATTTACATCTTTTAAATCTTTAATGAATGATCAATAAGTATTTGCAGAATTACTGTTATGCTTGAAAAACTTCATAAAGACAAAAAATTGTTCACTATAACCCACATAATGTAAATGTGAATATTATGCAATCAAAAAATATATGTAAATTTGACAGAACATTAAAATTTGATCAAAAAATTTTCAAACACTTATTAAAGAAGATTACTTCAAAGATACACTTTTTCTTTAAATTTTATTTCCTATCTGTAAGTTGAATTAGTTTGATAAATTTTAACATTTTAGGCCAAGTATAAAGTGAAAGTTGGTTCTTTACCTGGAAATGTACAGTAATCATTCATAAAACATTACATGTACATATAAAAATTGACGATTGTCAAGTTATATGTCACCAGGCTTATTTTGGACTTAATTTTAATTTTATCATTTTATTTAGAAATTGGACTTTTGGAAAAGATATTATTTACAAATTTAAATATTTACATGTATAGACAAATAATGTGTTAATCTTAATTAGTGACATATGATTTTCAAATGTTTGTGACAGATTTATTTATTTATTAAGTTAAAGAAACTAATATGAAAGACATTAATTCATACTAAAGGTGTGAAAATTATTGAAAGAATGAGATTATATATGAGTATTATAAATTATAATTATCTTTTATATTAATTAATGTGAATGCTGTCACTTATAGCTTAAAGTTATAAATGTCATTTTAATTTGAGTATTGTCATGTTAATTGAGTATTGTCTATTTTCAATATTCAGTATAAATATTTTTTGTAAACTAAAGAACGATTAGAAGTGTAGAACATTGAGTAAGATACAGTAGGAGTCACATTATATTGACATTGTCCTTTGTATATGTTATATTAGTACTTTGGCTTGGAATTAAATTATATAACTTGAATGTGTTGGATCTTCATGAACCGCAACAACTAGTTCCTGATATTGGTGACCTTCAAGATTTAATTGTTTTTCTAATGATTTTACAAATAAAATCATGACCCCGTAACATTTAGGGAGCCAAGACAAGAGTACCAACTGCGCCCCTATTGGTTACATATACAATTATGATCAATAAACTTTAAACACATATATGTCTCACATTAAAGTTTAACCTTGTCAAAAATCTAACATAGAATGTCCCACACTAGAGGAAAATAAGTTACCAAAAGACCATAAAGGCAGTTTGGCCCCAAGGGGATACAATTAGGTGGGTAAATGATGTTTGGTTTAGGAGTTCCAACTGTATACAGCCATGACTGCTTATAACAAGTTTATTTTGTTTTTTTTTTGCTATTTTAGAATCAAAGTGTCCAACTTCAGACTTAAGGAGCATCATTCTACAATCATTCCAAAAATATTGGTTGGGGTCTAATGTCCAGCGGCAAATATCAGGATGATAACATGTTGATGGGATAAGAATATGATCCCCGCTTTGTACTGACTCAGAATTACTTTTTACAATGTGCTAGTCCACAACATAGAAATGTATACATATTTGACACATTATTCTCACTCAAGATCAGACCAGTCTTTGCTCTAACTCCTAATTGCCATGTCCTTAGAAGAAAAACAGCAAATATCAATTTTAAAGTCTTTGGTTTGACACAGAAAGGGATAGAACCCACAACCTCCTGCAGTCCAGGTGAACAATAGACCACTCAGAGGCGGTTC